CAGGATCGGTTCCTGGTCATTGCGGGGAGGGTAGGGTTTCTCATGTCGGATTCGTGGCACTCGTGGTGGCAGGAGGGAGGCGGGGTGTTATACTCTCGGTCTTTGCGAGTAGCAGGTATACAGATGCCTAGGAGGGGATGGCGCAGGGGCCTCTTCCTCAGCTGCGTGTATGCTCCTACGAGCGCGTCTGGAAAAGCAGCGAGACAGGCGGTGCGACAGGAGGTGGATACGGTGCTAGGGTTGGCCCAGGCGACAAGCATGCGTCTGGTGGTAGGGGATTTCAACGCAGAAATGGGAAACAACCAAAGCAATCGAAGACAGAACAATGAAGTGGTGGGGTCATTTGCGGCGGCTAAGATTACCACGGCGGGCGAGGAATGGCGAGAGTGGTGCGGGAGACATGGGTTTAGGGATTCGGCGAGCAGATATCAACTTCGACATAGGTGGACGTGGCGACACCCGAGGTTTAGGTCCCTGCACGAACTGGATCATGTGTGAATTCATCATGACGACCTGTGGCATTTGCAGAGTGCACAAATTCTTATGGAAGGACCCAGTGTACGGGCGCCATGGACGGAGTACACGGACCACAACCCTTTGTCGGTTAAACTAAGAGTAGGGCAGAGTTGGACTGACACGTTGGACTGACACGTCTCGAAAGAAGCATGGCATTCCAAAACCCAATATTACGCGCATGTCAGGGCCTGGACAAACGGCAGAGGATTTGAGACGTAAGTGGACGGCGGAGGTGGAAGCTCGGTTAGTTCAGATGCAGCGACAACTGCAGGATGCAGGAGCGGAACAACAATGGGAGGGTATCTGCAAGATATGTAGGGAGGTGTCCTTTGAGGTATGTGGGATCCTTCAAACACATCGCGGCGCGCCATGGTTGCGGAACAACGGGGCGGAGATGGAACAGCTTGACCAAGCGATCTTACTGGCCAAACAGCAGGACAGGGCAGCACGAAGTTCTGGGGATGATGGGGCTCAGAGTCGGGCCAGGCAGGAGCTTAGACGTCACAGGAAGGAAAAGGCACGGGCGTTACGGGAATGGGAGGTGGCGTAGCTCAAGTCGAAAGCGGAAGAGGCCAACGAGGTGGTACATCGCCCAAATGCGTCGATGGTTTTCAAGGTGGTGAAAGAACTCACGCAAGGTATTAACCGCAAGCGCACGGATGGTGGCACTTTACACGGGATGAACCAACAGGAGGTCGAGGCATGGAAGGACCATTTTCAAGCAATACAGGCAGGAGCAGGGGAGGTAGCGGAGGACGTGTGGGACGACATGGCAGGGCGGGAAGAAAGTCAGGAGTTAGAGGACTTACCGTCATGGGAGGAGGTGAAAAGAGCGGTTAATGCGATGAAGAGAGGTAAGGCTGGGGGTGAAGACACCATGGTGGGCTGGGAGGGGTTGAGATGCAGAAGTCGTTGTACAAGCTGGTCCGGAAGTGTTGGGAGGAAGCCGTTAGGGCGCCGGATGGGTTGGAACAGCTTCATGGCCCACCAAGTGGAAAATCGGAATTATTATACCACTATGGAAAAAGAAGGGGGATAGGAAGAACAAGAACACGTGGCGGGGGATAACCTTTCTTTCGGTGGGGTCAAAGTTGGTGGCTCGGATATGCGCTATGCGACTCCAACGGTGGTGTCAACCGTGGCTGAACTCACTACAGTTTGGGTTCCGGGCGGGGTCGGGTGTGGACGATGTGCAGCAGGTCTCACGACGCTTGATGGAGGAAGCAGCTCAGTCTACACATGGGAACACGTACCTGTTGCGCTTTTATGACTTAGAGAAGGCTTATCCAAAGGTGGCAAGGCATGCTCTATGGCACACATTGGAAAGGAAAGGATGTCCACGAGGATTTAGGAAAGTGCTGAAGGCAATACATGAAGGGACGGCCAGCAAGGTCAGGTTGCAAGGCATGGAGTCCACTAGTTTTGTTCCGGACAGGGGGTTACGCGAAGGCTGTCCCTCGTCGCCGATTTTGTTCAATGTTTTTCACCACGGGTTCATGGAAGTTTTTCGGGCTCGACGCGGTCGAGCGGCGGAATTGGGGGGGACCACACCTGGGTTGGTATGGACCTATAAGGTAGATGGTCGCGTAGCCAAGAGGAAAACAGATCGGGAGGACGAGGGGCGACATACAAGGAGGTGTGTTATCGGGGATTTCGCATACGCGGACGATACGGGTATAGTTGGTGATGCAGAAGAGGTTGTAGGAGCGGAAACACTGTTCACGCAAACTGTAACAGACTTTGCAGGAACCGTCAACACGGAGAAAACGGAGGGCTTGCGAGTGCAGACGGAGTTAAGACCAGGTACTGATGTGGCATGGCTTGGGGAAAGCGCGACGGTGAAACACGTTGGGGCTATGCTATCGGAACGGGCGGGGCATGCTGCGGAAACTGAAAGGGCGGCCAGGAAATGTGTTCAGAAGATTGAGGAAATATCCGCGGCGTGGACTCGGGGCAAGGCAGCAAAGCGACGAAAACATGACCTCAAAAAGAGTGTAAGAGTAAAGGTTTTGAAAGCGGCTGTGAAGGGGATTCTGCTGACGTTTTGTCGCACCCGGGCGTGGCAAACGAATCAGGTGCACAGAATGCAAAACATCATCAACTTTTCCGTGTTCAATGCCAGGATACAGGACTTGAGAAGACAGGGATTAACGAACGCGGTGATGCGTAGGATGGTACAGTGGGAATCTTTTGAGAGCGCGGTACGTAGGGCCTCCTTAATGTGGTTGGGGCATGTGGCCAGAATGACAGCAGCACAACCACAGAAGCAGATCCTTTTTGGATGGATTGAGGGCACTAAGGCAAAACAGAGATGTCCGTTTAAACAGGCGCAGTGGATCAACGCATGTCTTAGGGCAGCCAACATTTCAGAAATGGACTGGTTTAGGTTGGCGCAGGAACGAACAGAATGGAAAAAGCTGGTTTACGGGGCTTTTCCGGTAGAAAAGGTTCTAGTCGAACGGGAGAGGGAGTTAGATCAGCGGAGGTTGGGGGACCCGATACCGGTTTGGGCGCGTCCACGGGAGGAGGACCCGGCGGAGCAGGAGTTCTCAAAGAGCGAAGAGGAATTGGGGGAACGCAGGAGAGGAGGATACGAGGAGCCGGAAGCGAGGTCATACGGTCGTCGCCCGAGGCGCTTACGGATGGACAGACGGGCAGAACGAGGAGTGGGGGTACCTACATGTCCGGTGTGTGGCGCAACTTTCTCCAAAACGAATCAGCTGGCATTCCACTACGAAGCGGAACATTCGGTGTGTGACCCTACTCTCACCACGGTACAATCCTTCAAGTGTAACGCATGCTCCCAGGTGTTCAGGAGGGCACAACAACTTAAAGACCATGTATGTCCGGCTAAACGGCGTCTCGCGCGTTTCAATCATATTGACCATTGATACCTTCAAAAGAAGATCTGCCACCATCACCATCGCAATACAACCCTCATAATTCAGCATTGCAATTCACGTCAGATGCCGCTTTCCGCACACGGCAGGGCATAGTGCGACACTCCCGATCCGCGCACAAGGTCAAGGGGCAGACAAGGTGCGGGCCGGGGGCGGCGGGGCGGGCAGGGCGGGTGGGCGTGCAGCAGCAGGGCAGCAGGGGGGGGGGATACCTTTGGGGGGGGGGGGGGGTTGGGGGGTGGCGGCCCGGGACCCGAGAGCATATATATATATATATATATATATATGTACACATACCTGTCTGTCCGTTATGACCTATTGCGCTTATCAAGACCGCTTTGTGAGGTTCGTGCATGCTCATCTTTATCCTTACATGTCTGTCTGCTCTTGCTCTTCTGGCACCAGTCAGGCTGCTCGGAAGACGACATCCTGAGATGCCCTTGTGTCAGTCATGCATCATACCTTCAGTCTCCTTCAAACCTTCAACGCCAAATCGAAAGCATGCGCCTAGATCGCCGTAGTCCTGTTTCCGAACCTGGCCGAAGGCTTTCTGAAGATGCTTTACAGGGGGGCTTCTGATCAGGGGCTTTCAAGCTTGGACAGCTTTGGGCGAGGCGTAGCTTTCCCAGCACCCGTATCATAGATATATCTGGGCCCAATCGACCCGACTCGGTCTTGTCTACGTCGCGACAGGGGTATTAGCGCTGGAGTGCATGCGGCCGGAATGCTAGCACCAGGAACCAACCTTTTGAGGCGATGAATGGTCACCGTTTCCTCAAAACTGAACAACATCCGGACGGCCCAAAGCCGAAGTCCCAAACCCTTGTATATTATGAGCACTTTGCGAAGTCCCACGGTCCAGGCCTCAGCCAGGAAAGAGGAGTGGTCTTTCGGTAATTCCGCCGTCCGGCAGCTTGAGCAGTTGCCTGGGAGTCGCAGCTTTTCGCAGCAGTGCTCTGATTTGCACAGGGCTTTAGGGAGAGTTGGGGGCGTGCTTAGTTGCGGCTCGCAGGCTTCAGGCCCGAGACTGGCTACACTTCAGACTTTCGGGCTTGTGCTTTAAGGCTATCTGTAGCTGAGGCTTTCGTATTTTATAGTTCGGCACCTGGCTTGGTGGTAGTCTACACAAAACACTCCGGAATTCTGGGCGGTGCCGTTTTTAGCAACGGCAGTCCACGGGAATTAACTGACATTGGGACATCCTTTTCTTCCGCAGCGGCCTGCAATCCTGAGTCTGATGACATGTATGCAGCCACAGCCATCAGGGCGAGTCGGAGTCCCTACCTGGTGTGTGAGGGAGGGATGTCGGCACACCCGGAATGAGCTCATGGCTGCGACAAGGGAAGATTACCTTCGAAACTTGAAGGGCCGCTTGAAACGTTGCAGGCCTTGCGCGTAAATCGTCAAAACTGCGAATGACGCAGGATGCATGAGCCACACGAATCCGCACGACATACTTCTACAGGGGTTGTTAAACTGCTTCGTGAGCTCTGCATTGCGCTTCAGAAACAAGCCGCTAGAAGTGCTCCCAAGCAGAGCACGGGAACGAGCTGAGGAGTGCGATGGGCAAGTCCCTCGTGCCACTCACACCACCATGAGTGCATCCTTCAAGGTGAAGTTGCCCGTGGCCGTGCCGAAGTCCTTTGAGTGCGGGTGCTTCGAGCCACACTCGCCCTGGCAAAGGTGGATGTCAAAGGTATAAGTGCCTGGACGCCAGATCACAGGCTCATCGCCGGAGGTGTCATCTTCTACCTTCAGCTCTGCACCCAGCTGCATGGCACCTTCAGTGAGGCCCTTCGGCAGGAGAAAGCCATCCGAGATGTGCGAAGTGACTGGGCCGTGCACGGCGACACGGAACTCGCCTACGCCGAGGGCCTTTGTCACATTGATATCAGCCAACAGCTTCACGGTTTCACCCTTGGAGATGGTCGACGGCGAGGCCTGGATGTCCATAATGCGTGCCGATGCGTCGTCCGGGCCAGCGTGGCAGAGAGTCAAGAGCTCGCAGAAGTAGATGGGATCCAAGTCCGTGTGGTTCAGGATGTCCACGAACTCCTTGATTCCTGCCAAATCGCAGGCGAGGTTGCAGATAGTCTGCTCCGCCTTGCCAGGCAGGTGGCTGCAAAGCTTCGAACAGCTAGTCACGACACCCGCATTCAGAAGGTAGTTCAGCAGCAGGTTGATGCCCTGGGAGCCGAGCTGAACGCAAGGCGAGCATAGGGCGCTGGGCAGCGCCACTTCTGGCGTCGTGGGGCTCACAGGGCGCAGCAGTGGCGAGGCGCCGGCGAGCATGGCGAGGGCGAGGACAGCGAAGACGCGCATCGTCGTGGCGGGTTTGTGGGCTCGGATGCGTGGGGCGCGAAGCGACACTGTAAGCCCAACTTGGCACGCCAGCATCACGGGCAAGACCAGCAATAGCATTTGCATCAACATCAAATTTCGGAACCGGTATGTCGACTTCACTGGACAGATCTATACAAAAGAACCTTATGATCTTCCTTAGGACTGTGATCCTACATAGGCCGCAGCCATGGGCTAATTCCAGCACGTCAGATATTCGAGACTCTTGCTTTGTCACGCCTGTGCTCTTCATGACTGCTCAAGCCAGGCTTTGTGCCGCCAGGAGGGCGGTAAAAAATGCGCAGCCCGATGCCAGCAAAAGCCAAGATGTCACCACGCCAAACCAGCAGATCCTGTGCTGGATTTCTGGTTGTCATCTACACCATCTCAACCATCTTTCCGGTGTGCACGCAAATCCGCTCGAACTGCTTGTCTATTGTAGGAGCCATTGCAATGACAACAGCTTTTTGGGGCACCTTGGTGTAGACACTCTTGCCGAGGAACAGTATTGGTATTTATTCCGACTTTACATGGCTTTCTCCCGTCGTAGTTTTCAAGGCTTCCCGACCTGCCTGTTGGTCTGCGCCTTCTCCGAGAAGCACCTGTCCGACCAACTGTGTCGTGTGATCGCTGTTACTTATTTTCGTGCGTCTGAACTTCCAAGGTTCTATCACTGTGGCACTATGGTTGTGCTTGCAGTTGCCGTTGCTAGAAGTCGATGTGTTTGGCGGGTTTCATGCTGTATCGACTCTCACCAGAATTTCCGAAGCTGATGCCTTGGAGCAGCATTACAATTGAATCCTCTTTCAAGGCAGCATTTGCAAGCCCTGGCAGGTCTGGGGAATGTTTGAGTAAGTGAATTTGTGGCTCGGCACGTGTGCGATCTTGGCTATCTTTTGGTGAGGTGCTGCATGGTTGAAGTGGAGAATCGGCCGGGAAGTGCATGTGTATGTGTGTGTGTGTGTGTGTGAGAGATTCGGTATGCTTTTGGCATTGGCATGGTGCCGGAGCCCCGGTTCCAGCATGACTGCGGTGATGACGATGATTCCGGAGGTGCTGGTCTGCAGTTTTTCGAGTTGCGGAAGGCTGCATTACAGGCTTTCATACCGTATGTCCCCGAGAGTTCCGCGTTAAGAAGCTGCAACTTTGCAGCATCATGTACGAAACAGCTTAAACTCTTCTGATCAGTAGTGTGCGTTGCCCGGCAGGATCCGGAGGGCAGCTGGGGAGTTCGGATGTAAGATAGCTTTTACAGGGTGTGAGAAGGTCCTGAGAAAGAGTTGTTCATTTGGGCAAAATGGGGTTTTGGGGTTTCGGCGCTCACGCTCGGGCACACTCGGCTTGAAGTTCTTAGCTCCGTTTGCGTGGGTTATGCAAGAACAACAGAACTATTGCCGTCAGCATCGGCATCAACTCTAGGCTTTGCCACTGTAGAGCATGAATGAACTCTAGACTCTACACACTGGTAGATTTGTCTTACTGTCAGTAAGTGTCGGCAAACCCTGAAAACTCACCTACAAAGCCCTACCTCGGCCCCAAATAACCTACCTTGAAGCCCTGTTTATATAAAGAGATAATATTTAAGGGCTGCGCCAGGTTTAGAATGAAACCCTTCTAGACTTTGCTGGAGGCCCTACCTGAGTTTGGATCCTATAAGCCCTCCACTGGTCCCGAAACCTCATCTTCCACTCCAAATTTCAACACAATGCGGCTCAGCACCAGCTCGCCGCGACGCTCAAAGCGCCATTGGCCGTCGACTCGTTGTGGCCGGAGGAGGATGACGTCCAGGCGCAGGCCCTGCTTCCGGGATCTGAGGAGGGTAGGCCCGGATTCCTTGTTTCTTCTTGTCCGCCTAATTGGTTTCTCTCGTCAATCTGGTCAAACCCTATCCCAAGTTGGTCAAAGTACCGGTATGCATTGCATTGCAGGCGGGTTATGGACCCTATACGACCCTATAAATGACACTAATGAATAATTAAAGCCTCATATGAATCTTTCCCGTGTGCAGATCACCGAAGATCCTTTCCAGCCATCCATTGGCCTCATCTGCATGCAGCATTGCATTCACCTTGATGTCGGTGATGCGCCCGTCTGCCGGCATCGGGTGGTCGAGGTCTGCGAAAAACACAGGCAGCTCATCGTAACCTTGGTATTCCACAAGGTGAATACAGCTAAGATCCCGGTGGCATGGGATGAGTCGGCACCACAGCCTGTGCACTGTGGGGAAGCGCCGTACCCTTTACATGCGGCAGCCTCAGGTTTAAGCCTGCATCTGTTCCAAACGGTGCCCTCGTGATGGAAAGCTTAGTACGTGGTGAGGTAAGACTTAGACTCTTAGACTGTGCGCTCGAGCCGGGCTGCTGGTCACATCGCCATGCTCTCCGACCTGAAGACATCCGTAGAATGGTGCGACTCGGGCATCGGTTCAGCGGCTCAGCCTGCTTTGGTTTCCCGGCCACGTGCCTGCACCGGCTCGGCCTCCTTGCAGCGGAGGCCGTGAGCTTCCAAAGGCTGAGATGCGATCGAGGCCTGCGCAGAGCTGCAAAGACAGCCGATCCCCGAAGGAGCGAGCACGCAAACACACGAAGACAAACCATCGAATGTTGTCAATGATCCCGAGCGCACAAGCAAGCCCAGGCTGACATCCACCGTTTGGTTGCAAGCTCCTGAGCCGTTCCCGTGCCTGGGGCCATCGATACATCGGCTCCAGCACCTGAAAGTTTCCGTGGGCATTCTCTGGAACCACCCATTGAAGCACATTCTACAGACTGGCTAGTCGGCGCTTCAAAGATCCAAAGGCCTGATCACACTCATGGCTCCTTGAAGATCGGTATTGCAGGACTGCAAAGAGATTATGAGAAACAAGAGGCGAAGGGCAACCTCAGCTTCACAAGAGCAGGTCAGCGATTTTGAGAAGGTAACAGTGGTAACGTCCGAAGCTCTCCGTTCAACCAGCCGACGTCGTCTTTGGGTACCCTCCTGAATACACGGCCTCGCGAAACTCGTCAGCTTCCCGATCCGCCTGACAGCGTGGAGCTCGAAGTCGCACCAAGCCCCCAACTGAAGACAAGCACACTTTGAGGCTTCGAGGAGAGGTTCACTCGTGACCGTGCCTGCAGCATCTTGCCGCCTCGGGTGTTCGGACATCTGCCGGTCTGGCCCCGGAACAGCACAGGACCCAGTGCTTAGGGCCTTCTTCTCTTCAATACACCCGGGTATGCTGAGCGCAAATCTGGAAAGTCCGTGACGAATCGCTTGTTCAGTTCTATTGTCCGTGAGCTCACATGGAGCCTACAACGACAGCCAGTCTCAGCAAAGGCACAAGCTCCAGAGAGGAGATCTGACACGACGTACTGGGGCAGGCCAGTGAAGTATCCAAGCACCCTGGACAGGAGATTTCCGGGGCACACCATGACAACATTCATGCGGAGGGACCATGGCAATCCACAGCCAATCATTGCACTATCACGGGGTCGGTGAAGGCTTCAGGCAATGTTCGTCTTGTAGACATCATGTCATATGACAGCTTGCAGCACGACAATACCCTGTTGGAAGCGGACGACGCGCGCACACCCACGCAAACACAACACAATAGTGCATGTAAGCAAACAAGCGCACAAATGACAACATGCATACACACAGAAATCAACAAGCAAGTTAATCAGTTAATCAGTGCACAACTATAATACGTGCACAATGTCCACGACCATCTACAAATAGGCAAAGGTTTGCGCATATATAGCTACATACATATAGTTAGTTTGTATGTATGCATGCATATATGTTTGTGTGTATACACAAGCAAACAAGCTGACATACACAGACGGATGCAAAAACACGGAGTGACACAAGGAAAACACAAAGTTTTCAATGCCTTGACTGCGTTCTAGGCACATGGGCGCCTTTGGGGAGACACTCTCGCGGACCACATGGCCGGCTCAGGAAAGAAGTGTGGACAAGCAACGTGACTCGATGCGCCTGCATTGTCGCATCCGTAATGAAAGCTGCGTGTACAGCTGCACACAAATAAATCAATACATGTATGTATGTATGTTGATGTATAGTGGGGTGTGATTGTGTGTGCATTTGTATATACGTGCAAACACACCCACACACACACAGACACTCACACACAAACAACCCACACCAATCTGAGCCCGGGCTGCTGGTTAGCCGTGAAGCTGGGCATGACTTCGGCAACGTCTGCGATCAGCCGCTCTTGCCTGGGTACGAAGGGAATTAAGATTTCGAGCTTTAGACGTATACATGGGTCAGTGCTTTCACGGCCCTTCGTCTCGGTAGCCTCGCAAGTATCACTACGAAAGCGTAGCTTGGGATTCTTCGGAACTGTAGCGGAAGCACAGCGCAACAAAACTGCTGCACAAACAGCTCCTATAGGATGCACCCCAGGCGCTTGTCTTGCGCCTCAGGCGACAATGGGTTCTGCAGCAACGTCTGGCAAATGCGCTGGGTGACCACGATGCGGCCTTCACAGAGGTTCACTGCAGGCATGCGCTCGGACATGTCCGGATGCAACAACTTTGCGCAGTCATGTGCAATCCTGGCGTCCTAGCTCATTTCATATGGGACAGGCTTCTTAACTAACCCTCACGTCGGCTACCTTGCATGAGTGCGAGCAGATGTTTGCTCTGCTATCGGTGCACCAGTTTGCGGAGTTAGCAGCAATTAATCATGCAAACAAACCTTTCACAAACACATGCACACGTCTCGCATGATGTTGGTGTATTTATTACCTTAAGCTCTCTATCGACTCTAGACTCTAGCCCTCTGATCATGTTGTCGCTGATCCAAAAGAAATTTCACAAACGTTTGTCTGAGACTGTGTACAGCTCCCAGGCTCTGGACGCTCAGGTGCTGCCTAGGAGAGCAACTTCCGCGCAGCTGTCCGTCAGCACGGGTGCCTCCGGCTGGCTGCGTTTCGACACGGCAGTGAAGCTGATGGGCTCGAGGCCGTGCTGCCCGCGGACGGACAACGCCCCGATAGTTCTGCTAGGTGCAAATGGTGCCGCGCTGAACCGTGTTCTGCCCAGGCGTTCAGCTCAAGCATTGTCTCAGTTTTCCACAGTGCTTCCCGTTCTAAAAATGCCTGATTCGCGATGAGCAACTCCACGCGCGTGCCAAGTATCCCATCCTGCCGGTGCTTTAGGATTCCGGGACTTGTGTGCCAGAGTACTGAGAAAAAGCTTTCCGAAGCTCCTGCCGTGTTGCGAGCGGTAGCGGACGAAGCTTCCCAACAAAACGGGGAACCAATCCTCATTTAAGACCTTTGAAGATAGTCTGCTCACCGCACCGGCAGGAACCACAGGGACGAGCAAAGTTTCACACAGGTACTGCCACCATGTTACCCAACAAGAAGACAAGATGTTGAGACTGTCCTGCATGGTCTGCTCGGCGGTCTTGTCTTCCATCCGAACTCGAACCTCTTCGAAGTAGTCTCGGTAAAGGTCGTCACCCATGCAGTGAACCGGATCGACCAACACCTGGTCTGACATGCGACGCATTGACAGGATTGGATCATGAGATACGCCTCGACATCGAGCTCCACCGGCGCTCCCGGGAAGATGTACTCCTGGGCATGGGCAGTACTTGACCACCTAGACCTTGTGCATTGCCAAAGAGAACAGGGAAAAGGAAATCCAACTAATGCAACCCGCGGATCTGCGGTATGGAGACGCAAATCGGCACAGCGGTGTCCGTGACTTCGGCAGCATGACCTGAGCTTGCAGTTGCAGATTAAACAGGGACCGCACAACGGCTGTTGGTACTACAGGGGCTTAAATCATTACCTGTACTATTTTAATTTTGGGGGTACCTTACTGTTAATCATAGTATACTATACCCCAAAAACCTTTTTCCAACTAAGCCCCCAATAATGGGAGCTTTGCCTCAAGCATCTCCTGAGAGATGTCTTAGTACATCTTTCAAGGCGGCTGGCGTGGGAGGTGCAAGGACGGGCAGGCAATCCCTGCAGCTTGCATGCTAAAGCATCCACCCCATTGATAAGTGCAACAATAAGTAACCGACGTAGACCACTCGCGTGCGGCAGTGATTCAAGAATAGTGGCCGAAGGTCCGAAGATCCGTCTGGCTGCGCCAACTCTTTTTTCCACCGTGAGTGAGTCAGTGACGCGCCATTTGCGCGATCTGAATCGGCTTGATCAGCGCATTTCCGAGTGGCCGACTGCGTGACACGATGGCATCCGCCGGCAGCAGCAATCACTTGCTGTATCTAGCACTCCAGCTATGAGCTTATTGTCACATCACTACCAGCAGTACTGCAGATTTCCCTGCACCAGTCGCAAACGAATCTTGTCCGCACTGGTTGCAGTCTGGGGAGAACAGCTGGCTAAGTAGCTCAGACATCAATAGTCATCGGCGTCGGTGAGATCAGCAGCAAACGGAGGGCTGCTGCTTTTGGGAGGCTTCGGCGGCCCAATGCGGCACCTTCAAAGGGGGAGAGGAGCTATGGTGTTGTACCGAATGCGGATGGCCCAAGCAGTCTGCTGCGCGCCTTGTGCCCACAGGTCTGCTTCAGCTCTCGATAAGCCGTCCTTAGGCTCGATTCGCACAGATTCGCAGCTCACGAGCCCCTTGGCCAAGAATGAGGGCCGGGAGGTTGTACGGTAGCAAAACTGAGCGATGGTAACGTGACCTGTTCTGCCTCCATGTACACCACACCCGCCTCAGCCCGGAACCCTGACTGGCACAGGTCGGAACACCTGAACCCGGCCCTTAGACTCCGACTACGAGACACTCAGCAGTACGAGGCCTACTATAGGCAGCATTATATCACCGTCAACGTGCCTCAATCACCATTAACGAAAACACACATGGCATCACTGCCACGCTCGGTAGTAGGTGTCTTCTTCCTTTCCCTATAAGTCTTCTGGCTTGCTCTCATGATGCAAGCCGATGGTCTGCAGTTCCTGGCGCCTGCTGTCACTGATGCCCCGCTCGTTGAGGAACGTCCGTGCCTGGTAGAGCTTTGCAGAAAGGGCAGAAAGTCAGGTCTTCAGAAGTGTACATCCAACGAGAACTGGCACAAACCACGGACAGTACGAGCAACATGGTGCTGACCATGTGAAAATATGCGGTCACATGTCAGGCACAAAACAAACAGATTCATCAACACGCTCACGCTCACAAAGCAGGGTTGGGCGATGCAACATGGATGCGTAAACGCCCAAGTGCCGGCAGTAAGCATAAGCTCTTTTCTAGGCATGCTTTCATGTCAAAGTTATGTATGGTCAAAACCCTCTAGACTCGAGATGCTGAAACAACAATCTTACACACCTTGGCCTGGTAGGGCTTCAGAGGCCTGGGGCTAGGAAAAACACTGTCGCTCTAGTTCACCACAACTTTACTTGCAATGCAGTGCTTCTGCATGCTTCAACACAGCCCATGCTTAAACAATCAACGAAGGATCCCGATTGAAAGGGCTTCTCTGATCTCTTGTGGCGTTTAACCTTTAAGGTCTTTGGAGTGAACCTCAGACACAGACACGAAGACGCACGGAAGGATCTACGAGCATACCAGCATGAGCGCGAGCCTGAGGACAGTTGGCACAGCCCGGCAAGATTAATTGCAAAACTCAAAGCTTCAATATCGGGATGTTGCTTCGGGCTCGAGTTGCAGGGCCTGAGAGTCACAGGGCAGAAATTCGGCGATAGCAGGCTTGGAGGTACCTTTAGGCAGGGGGTCGCAGGGCCTGAGGAGAACCTGAGGAGTCTCAAACTGCCCTGGAGTAAGAATACCATAGCACTTGGTGCAAACCCAATGCTTTTCCAAATTGTAGGGTTGGTGAATGTCAACCTCAAAGGCGTTAGAGACTGGAAAAGAAACATGGACACAAGGGTGCCGTTCGATTTTTGCGAATTTTACCAAACTGAAAACCTGCTTTAACATCGATTCGCATAAACTTCACAGTCGATTGCAGCACACTCCCTTCCCGTTCGGATTTCGGTGGTGCTACTCGGACACTCCAAGCGAGGGGGAGTGACAAGCTTCGTTAGGCATCCCGAACCGCACAACTTGCCGCTCCAATGACGCGCCAAGCGGCAATGTCACCGTCTAGAGAGCCGATGGCCTTGATATTTTCAAGGATGTGGTCGCAATGTACCAGAGCATCCTTCTTGTCTATGCTCCTTCCAAGTCCGACAGGTCGTTGTATGCAATGGCACCATGCCTTGTGGCGTGATCTGGCACTGAAAAGACGTGCGCAGAACTCTTAACGACTGCAGGCGTTCCAGTCTCTGGGTGTGCAAAACATGCGCTGCGCTGTCATAAACAACTTATACCTGCGCATGAGCCATGGGGAGTATGGGACTCATGGACCAACCTCCTCAACCTGACACGGCCCCTGAGCTGCTCCTGGCTTGCCAGTTGGAAATCACCCGATCCAGCGCCAACATCTGAGTGGCATAGCGCTCTGCCTTCACTTGCTCGCCGCTCCTTAGATCATGATTTTGGTGACTCGTCGACAAGCTTCACAAATATGCAGATCGTGCACTGTCCAAGCTGTACATCCTAGAAATGCTTTTACTCTGAACCCTCTCTCGCCCAGGTTTGCAGACTCAGCTGCACATAATCCTGTAAACCCGCTTCTGTTAGCCGGAGTCTCTTTTCAGGCTTTTCAGGCGCTGGGCTACCGGTTGCCCCAAGCCAGGCGAAATAGCCGCTGGACTCTTTCGGCTGCTCCTCATTGGGCTCCTCCTTCTCTTCCATCCTGGTTCGGCCCTGCGCTCGGGCCCCCCGTTGGATCAGGGCCTACGTAGCTGTGTTGAGCCGTGGGCAGGACAACCAGGCAGCGTCTCCTGCGGTCTTCAGGCTCATGTGGGGGTTTATAATAAGGATCCTAGGCTTCGGATACTCCCGATGTTGCCAGATCTTTCTACAGCCCGAAGTGACGAAGCTCAATGACCTGGACCCTCAGCAAAGTCTCAGCTGCAGGCAATTCAGTGAGGACCCGTCCATCGAAGCAGTCCGCAGCGGGCTCCTGCGGAGACCCCAAGTCGCCAAAGACTTTAGAATTCTTGGCTTGGGGTCTTTTCTCTTGGGGTTGGAGTTTCACCTGGCTCAAATCAGTCCAAAGCCACTCACCCACTTTCGCTCCAAACCGTAACATGCTGGCTTTGGAGGGTGAAACCACTGCAAAAGTCCTTCGGACTGTGGTCGAGAAGCTTTTCGGTAGGGGGGCTTTCTTGTGAGCTTTGCCTGCAGCCTTGCGGAGGCTTGGCTCATGAATGTGCGCCTAGATGTCCGCTGCGACCTTTCTGCTGACTCTCTTGGATGAGACTGGTGGAACTTGACCTAGCAAGGCTTCGAAGGTTGCAGCGTTTCCTCTGCACAGACACTTTTTCGAACCAAGAACCACACATGCTTCATCATGACAGTCCTCACGAACTGGAGTCAGGGGCGCATAACGCGACAGAGAAAGCAAATGCGAGTTCTTGCGAAGTATCAGCAATGATAAGACTGGAAGCTACTGACAAACGAAACCGGGCAACCCCCATCGCAAAGCGAGCTCCTTGCAGCAGCGATCGAAGCTGAAGCCCTTCTCCCGGCGAGACTGGGCAAAGCAAAGACTGTTCCCTGCCGGCAGTCGTCAGTAGTCAGAGATGGGACACAGAAACAAACACTGCAAAGCAGCATGTCATCCGATCATCTTTCATCGCCAGAAGAAGATGAACACCAACAAGAATTGCCGCGGCTATGTCGTTCAACATCTCTACTTGCACGAGCTCTTTCTGACGATGCCGATGATGATGATGATGATGCTCGTGGTGGTCCAATCAGCTGCGTCCAGCAAAGAAGATAAAGAAGATTCGCACAACTTTCTCCCACTCCTAACCACCTTCTCGCATTCTGCATATGGGAAACGCGGAATCGAGGCCAAAGCCTAGTACAAACCAATGCAAAGGAGAAGCTTGGGCTGAGGGTCAGACTTGTGCGAGGTGGGTGCTTCAGCGCCACTCATTTTCTTTTCACATACTGTACATGGGAGTCCAGCAGCGTGCAAGATTGCCCTTTGAGCAGCATACGCACAGCTCGCAGACTGATGGGGGCCGCAAACCAAGGCTTCCGTTGTGGGGACTGACACGTGACACGCCTGGCTTCATGTGGCATGTCTTCCTGAAGCATCATACCAACCCACCCTCAAAGGACTTCATCAGACCGACTGGGAGACTCGGTTTGCCAAAGCTTCGCTAGCACTAGCGGAGGGCGGTAAGCAATGACAACAATTCATGGCGTGCTAAGAACCTGCACATACTCTGGCACACTGTAGTAAAACTTCCTCCGTTTCTGCCTGTAGCCCTGACAGACTGCCAAGAGCTAGGGGCTTCGGATTTGGTGAAACATATTATGAAATCTGAATGCCGATAAACGTGCAGTCGCGCACGGTCACGAAGCTCGGGCTGCCTGGCACTCTGTGCACATAAAGCCTGTATCCGTTTTGGCGAAGGATCCCGAGATCTGTCCACCACAGGATGAGCAGATTAAGCACTCCGGATGATAACTGTCGTCCCCTACCTTTGCGACCATGCCCACCACTGGCTTGCCACAAGCTGCACAGGCAGGGGCGGCAGAAAGGAAGCACGCTTCACACAGCATTTTGGAGTCCCCGTCCTTCTCATAGACCTGGACAACAACAGAGGAAAACCACGGAAATCTCTGAAGGGCATCCCACAAGCTCAAAGCCTTTTTCAGCCGGAACCCCTTAATTACATGTTCACACCGACCTGCTGCCCTGGCTTAAAGGGGAGCTGACAGGAGCTGCAGCGGCCCAAATCTCGGCTCTTCTGCTCGGGCGGCTTGATCCCACGGGCCTGCGCGGCATCAAAGTTTGCTTTGATTTTTTGGACCCCCGGGCCCCTCTCGCTGACTCGACTCTCCCCCTCTCCACTGCCTTGAGGCTTCCTTCCACGAGCGCAGCGCCCTCGAAGTCACCGGCCGACAATAGCCGCCGCAGCTCCCGTAAGTCCTTGTCGACTTCATCAGTGCAAGCACCGCAGCAAATGCCACAGTCCAGCTTGGAGAGGGCACCGTCTATCACCTTGGAGCAAATCGCGCATTTCAAACATTGCTGATGGTAGGCGTCGTCGCCAACCTTGGCCATGGGCCCTGATATCAGCTTGCCGCACGCGACGCAGTGTGGGGCTACGTCTGACCAACATCCACTACAGAGCACTTGCTTCAGGCCTGCGATGGTGCTTTCATAGATACTCTGCCCCTGCTGGAACTGTGCACCACAAACGCTGCACCGCTCCTGCCCATCGGGTCCCGTCTGTGCAGTGCCAGCGGCCTTTGCAGACTTGGGAGGTTCCTTCGGCTCCTTGGAGGGCTCTGATGTCGGCTCCTTCAGAGGCAAAGGCTCCTTTGTAGCAAGCGGAGTTGGCTCCACCGTCTTGAGAAGGGCCTCCAGCTCCTCATCGAGGCTCATCGCCTGCTGCAGTTCTTTTGAAGGCCTTCGGCCTCTCCGAGATGACTCCGACGGGAAGGACTCGGCAGCCTGAGGTCGAGCTACGGTCATGTCAGCAGAATTCTTGGAGGCAGAAGCTGTGGCTTTGCCAGCAGCTCCAGTCTCCAGCTGCAAACCCGAGTTGGATCGCCCACGAGGAGGTCTCCTCTGGTTCTCCACCCCGGACACATTAGACTCTTTAGATGGTACAACGTCCACAGGCGCGGCACTTTTCGGCCAATCAACTGGAGCACGGCTTACCGATCCTGACCGTTCGCGTCGTTCGGGCACAGTTTGCCTCGAGGCCTCCTTGCTCAAGTCACTAAAAGCTCGCGCATCCTCTACGCCAGAGGTCACAGGAGCTCCGGTTGCTTGACCGGGCCTCTGCTCTCCAAAAGTGCGGGGACCCGGTGACAGGACAGTTGCACCGGTGGACTTCAGGACGGAATGGTTTGCTTGCCTCTTCATGGCGCGGAGCCCATGCTTTACTACGGCAGCCGAAATGTCAGCCACAAATGCCCAATGCCGGTCAGGAGAGTCGGCTGAAAATGCAACACTACTCAAAGCTGCTGTGTCCCTGCAATTCCAAAGAGAGTTCAGCTCGGCAACCCATGATGGCACAGCCAGGCTCTCGGCGGCCTGATCCTGCCTCTGACCGGCGTGCGAGCCACCTGGCCAAACTGCGCTCCTGGGAGCATGCAGGGACAAACAGGACCCGGCTTCCACGGCTGATCACTCATGTGAGTCATGCATCGGACACACTTTCATTGGGGCGATGTCATTGGGTGTTTTCGGCTTTGACTATCCACTAGCAGGCCGACTCGCAGGTGCTGCCTTCAGCTTGCAATGCTTGCATGCAAGTTCTCCTCTGGACCGCGGAGAGCACTATTGCCAGCCTGTCGTGTCTAATGTTGCGAGTGCTGGCTCTGGGCTTGCGACTCCTGACTAGGGCCAGCGGAAGAGCCACCGTGTTCTCGAAGTGGAGTCGACATTCGCGTTGAGTTAAGCGTCCAACCGCATGCAGCCCGAGTTTCATTCCTCACACTTTCGGCATATTGTCAAGATTGGAAGATGCTGAAATTCCAGAAGCTGTAGCCCCAGGCTCCTCGCAACCCCTGTCTACAACCAAAAACCGCACAGCAGACCTGCCGAGACAGCGAGACACCCAACACAAGCGTGGATCAATGCCTCAGCCAGGTGAGTAGATCCCGGCCGGAGCTCACCTGGCCGAAACGGGGGGTAAAATATGTGTGCACGATGAAACGCCTATGTCGAACATGCAGCAGCTAGGAGCATTCCCTCGAGCTGATTTTTTTTCCGAAACTTGCTTTGAGCAATCTGAGAGGAATCATGCCCATTGACGGCCCAAGTTAGCTGTTGCTACAAGATTCGCTTAGACTACAACCCACCTAAACATTTCCGTAAGTCACGAGGCCTCGGCGCTTGGCTCCCAGATTGCATCTCGTGTCAAGGCTGCTCAAGCAAGGTGCCACTAAACGAAAGCTGGAGAGAACCCCAAACACAACAACCAGGATGGTAAGCCCCCTCATTGCCAATGGCAGATGTATTACCAGTAATTAGTCATGTTGGAACTTTGCAGACCAACCTTGGCTGGTCTGACGATCGCTTGGCAAGCTAGAGTCAAGGTCGGGCAGTGCCGTCGCAATGGCGCCGAACACATTCTCGTTTGCTTTGTGGTGCGAATGCTGGCGGCTCGATGCAACTTTGCGGCTTTTGCGACATGGCACATCCCCATTCGTGCATCTTCAAGCGTTGGTGACAGGATGGACTGGCTCAGCAGCTGTCCTAGTTTTAGGCGCTGCCGATGGACTAGAAAAATCGGCGCTGACTCTCTGTATGCCTGAATCTTCAGAAAAGTAGGCCCTGTAGGCTGTATTGTGAGGCCTTAATGATCAACCGCAGGTGCGGCAGGCAGATGGTCAATTTCGCGGACAAGGCACAGCTTCTTACTTTCCACTGGCGAACCCCTTCGAGCTTGAGCTGAAAGGGCACGCCATGGTAATAAAAGCAGTATTCTGTGACACCTCATAACTATCATTGGCACAAGATGCCGACAGATTGGATTCACAGCACCACGTCAAGCTTCGGCCTTGGGCAGCAAACTAAACTCCCAACCACGCTCAGGACTTGGGTATCCAGCTACATTTCTGGCCCAGTCCGCCTGTCGAGTCGGAGGGAAAGTGTGTTGTCTTAGACCTGCTTGTTGCGGCCAAGCTGCCAAGTAGCTTCTACTGCGAGGCCTTCGCCGAGAAACAACCAAACAAAGATCTGAAGAATCCTGCACCTCAGACAGAGCTGGGCTTGCCGATGCCGCAAGAAAGACGTCAAGAAGTAGGCCACGTTCTGCCCTGCAAATGGCTCATCGATGCCACACAATGCCTTCAATCTAATTTAGAAACCCGTGTCCAACCAAGACCGGTCGCGGTTAGGCGGATTCCCCGAGCCAGAAGGCTTGCGTGGATTCGGCGATACCTGTGATCGGGGCTCGTTTTGAAGCGACTACAAGAGCAATTGGAGCAGAAAGTATGCTAGACCTTGTCGTCAATGTTGTATTCGTAGAAGTGCGAGTAGTAGCGGTGGCGGCAGTGTTGGTTGTGGTCGTCGTACGAGTAGTGGTCGTCGTCAGTATTAGTAGTGGCGGAGTTGTCGTCGTAGTTGTAGTGGCAGAAGAAGTAATAGTCGTCTGCGCCGTCGTAGAAATAGTAGTAGTAGTAGTAGTAGTAGTAGTAGTAGTAGTAGTAGTAGTAGTAGTAGTAGTGGTGGTGGTAGGTATCGGGGTAGTGCTAGTGCTGGCACTAGCACTGGTATTTGTTGTCGTAGTAGCAGGAGCAATCGTAGTAGCAGTCATTGCAACAGAAGCAGTGGCCGTAGGAGTTGGTTTTCTTTGTAGTAGTCGTACAGCAGAAGGTTAGTAAGCTTGTAGTAACCGGCATCGATCCCGTCGTCTAGCTCGCGGCCTGGCGACGACAAAGTCAACGATTAGTTACCACGACCATCGTAAGCTGTTGACGTGGATAGAGCGCAATAGCACAACGACAGTATGCATATCGCACATTGACAGCAATGAACAGCACGCCTCTGAATCGATGCCATGGCTTCTTGCGCTTTTTACGCCTCAGGTGCTGTATCACTGATTCACTGACTGCCCAAATTGACATGCAGTTAGTCATCTTTTGGTGTTCGATCATCCATCGGGACCTCGACTGCCAGCGTCCGAGCTGAGTAAGTGTGTTGGTTCCTGATTCCGAGGCGATGGCCTGGGATTCCCTATCACCTGTCCTAAGAGTCAAGTTCCAAACATAGACATGGAGCGATCTGTGGCAGCAGCCGGAGCAGTGCTCCGCATGGAGTCAGCATGCCTGGATCTTGTCTCCTTTGCGGAGCCTTGGGTGACAAGCTCTGGACGCAGTTCAGGTTTCAAGCAGGGCACGCGCGGCCCACCCCCACTTCCGGCAACTGTATGCTCAAGTCACTTCACTCATGCCCTCTGTCTCAGTCGTTGGTTCTTCCTGCCACTGAAGTGGCCCGCCATGACGTGCTGGCGCATCGTATATAGCTCAAGGCGCAACAACATGTTGTCACTAGTTGCGTCTGACCATCAGCGTGTTCAACTGCGTCCACGGGTGACACTCTGATATGCACTGCCTTTCCCTATCTGTCGGCTGGTCTCCAATTGTACGTCGACTCTATGTGATGTTCACAAGTAAAGGCGGCACGAGCTCGAGGCCCATGAAGTACTGTAACTGCTTCCAAGAGTCCCTGCCATCGCATTGGCGACCCCTCCTCATGCAAGAACTGGCTCTGTCAGACACATGCGATGTCTGCTATGTTTCTACATAACTACGAAGATCTACGAAGTGATGCAGGCATCATATTTGCAGGCCCAACCGCTGTCTATGATTCCTTGCAGACGCAAAACCATCGAGCTGTGATGTTTTGACACGTGTGACATGACCACTGTGCTATGCTCCTCGTCCTACCCACTTCGTACTACTCCACATACTGCTGCTCCTTTGGGCCTCCCACCAAGCCTCCGTCTAAGGCTTCCCATCTGCCATTCCCTCATCAGCTCTCGGGCGAGGTTCGGGCGAATGTCCATATTCAGTTTTCTTGATGGGTTTAGGACTCGCCACGCCTGCGTCATAGGTTTCCAAACCATCGTCTTCGTCGAGGTTCCATGACACACGGCTTTCATGCCGTGGCCATGCCAGAAAACCCTGTACTTTTGTGACGGCCATGGTAGCGACTGTCATCGCCGTACGCATCATCATCATCTTCGTCATCACATCACCATCATTATCGCCATCATCGCAAGCGCCTGCATCATCACATTGATCAGCATTATCAACCGCGCTCGCGATTTCAACGCATCACCAGGCTCCAGTCTCACTCGTGATCTAAACATACGTGATTCTGTCAGAGCTGAGGATCGGCTGCCGGCTCATCCCCGGCATTGCGGTACTGCTTGCTGCCTTGATCCAAGCGGACAAGTCACTTAAGGTTGCAGTGTAGCAAGATTGCAGTTTGCACATATTCAGCAGCCCCTGCCCAAAATCTCAAGCTGGCAGGCATTGAAACTCCGCATTCCAAGACCTATGCTTCTGCCTCTTCCTGGGTGCCTTGAACAGCCTTGAAACACCAGGGACGGCGCCTACTTCACGGACACGAAGCTGTGGTTCACCACGCGCCTCGGCCTGGCAGCTGTCAGCTCTCCAAGGACTCTCAGGGCCCGATCCAACTTAGCAACGGAAGTTTGGGGCTTCAATGACAATTAGACATCTTTCTCGTGGGATTCTCGAGTTGTAGAGTTTGTACAGATTTGAGGACGCAGGGCTCCGCCCCACAGCGGCATGTCTCACCGCCGATGTACATGCACACCCGCTTGTAAGCTTGATCTTGAACCGACGACCTAAGTGTTCGCAGGCACTTCCTTGAGCACGCGCCCTCACTATCGAGCACATGACATCTGCCTCCTGACCTTTTCGTATTCGGGCTAGATCCACCTCAAACTGTCTGGAACTCTCTTGTGACTTGTGCAATGGATGTTTGTATTAGCTACCTGGTACCTTCATGGAGGGAGAGCCAGGTGCCCTTGAGCCTGTTTGTTGAACTGGCTGGAGGTGACGGAATCCGTCACTGACGGCTGGGACCAATCGTAGATGCCGTCGTTCTCGTAGCCTCGAAAAGGACAATGGCTTCAGCACGCAGTTGCTTTTAGCACGCGATTCATGCTGGGCTCCAGAAGCTATATGCTCCATAGCACTCGCCTCTGTGCCGCGCACGTCTATATCTATATAAACCCCTGACTCACCCCAAACACTAAACTCGCCTTCCTTCGCGAAGAGCTCCTTGAAGAGACGTCGGAGGTAGGCGTAGTCGGGTCGGTCTTCAAACCGCAGCGCCTCGGAAAGCAGAACATGGACTTGTGCGAACTCTGTGGTGCCAGACTTCTGAGAATCGGGTTTGTGCTGATTTTGACCTTTGACATAAAGGGGACCGGAGGTTCCTTTGCCTTGGCGTAGTTCATGTACGTGACGAAGATCATCGGGCAACCTGGCCAGGACCCATCAGTTCAAGCCGAGTGACGGGAGGGAGAGCACTTCTGGCTTTAAGAACAACAAACAGTCAAACTCTCCCACGGGAACTTTCCCAAGCGATGAAGTAAACTCAGAAAGAGAAACATCCTCTCGGAAGACCCTGACTGCATAGCCCTCCCAGAGTTGCTGGCCACGCAGCCCTTGCAAAGGGACTCGACAGAGGTGGACTGTTTGCACTCCATGATCTTGTTGTACCTGATGGGCCGACACTTCATGCAAACCAACTCGGATTTGGTTCAAAAGTTCAATTAAATCGCCATTTAGACCGAGCAAATACATTTTATGGTCAGTTTGGCACTGATGTATGAAGCCACGCTGCTTCTCCTCCTTGGTAGCTGCCTGGAATCCTTGCCACGGCAGCTGACCCTTGCAGAAGTAGATCAAGACGTATCCTGAGCCAGAGGGACCATTCTTCATCAAGCCTTGTGCGGGGAACACTGGAGTTCGCGAGTGTCTGTTGCAGGTTGAAGGCTTCACTTCAGTGGACGAACAGCCAGCAAAGTGAACTTCAGGCACGGGCCCTGGCCTTCGAAAAACCATGAAGTTTCCGTGCTGAATTAGTCGAGGCTAGGCCCAGGCGAGCTGTCAAAGTCCAAAGAGCCGAACAGGCATTATGTCTAAAGGCCAATGCATCCCCTCTTAGCTGCCTGCCCGTGTTGTGCCAAGCTGCCAATTGCTTCGATGTCGTCCCTGCGGCTCTGTTCGATTCCACGGTGAGCATTCACCTGCCCCGGAGCTGAGAACTTCAGTCGGGAACACAGTAGACTCTGCTTTGTTTTGCCGGATTCTGCATGGTGGCATGTCATCATGACTTTTAGTTGTGCAGGTTAGTTGGTAAAGTGCACGGGCACACCACAGGGCAGGCACACTTCTGATTGGCGCCCCATCCCTGAACCAACGAAAAGGCTGGCGTAACAGGCTGCTGATGGTTGTAGTCCAACAACGCTACATCCCGAAAGGGAGTTTATACTATTTTATACTCTGAGGTGTCCCCACGGAAGAAAAGTGTGCGAGCCCATATTTCTCTTCAGAAGTGCAAAACGTAACTGTATGATACAGATATGTTTGCCTTACCAGCTGCTGCCCCACGAGACACTTCATGAAAGCTGGAAACTTCTCAGGTGCCAACGGATGCATATCGGGCAGTTCCGGTCATGCTCTTGTTGTCCTCAGTTGAGATCTGGCATTCGAACTTTAGCATCGGGCTACCCGCCGGTGATGCGACTCATGCCTGCTTAGCCAGGATCCAGTCACAGCTCTGGAAGCAGCACGCGCTCACACGCCTGTACCACATGTTTGGTATTCTCGAACCAAGTTGCTCGGTACGGGATGTGATTGCACTTGGAGTCCCTGCACCAGAAGCATGTCAGGGTTGCATTCCCTCGTCAAGCTACTACCAGCAGAGCCCGTGACAGTCAAAACATACGTTTTCGACAGTCGAAACATACGGTGTCAGCCAGCGGCCACGCACTCTATGCCCAGAAATCCCCTCTGAGCTCCAGCCTGTATTTTTTGGCAAGGCCAAAGTCAATGAGGTAGAGAATCTGACTCTGCTGGGTCTTCCTGCTCCCGCCGATGAGGAAGTTGTCAGGCTTGATGTCGCGATGAATGAAATCTTTCGAATGGAGATATTCTATCCTGAGCAGGAAGAACATAGGCATGTCTGAAGACTGGGCCCGACAAACTATAATCCCAGCAAGGTGGGAGGCCGGACCTGTAAAGCATCTGCTCCGCCAAGAGGATGAGCGTTTTCAGGGTGAACCTCTGCCGAAGCGAAGCCCCATAAGTCGCCCAGGTGCAAGCTGTTGTAAGCTCTAAGATATTATATAGAATATTTAATACTATAAATATATACTGGAACTGTAAATACCATATAATGTAATGTAATTAAAATATATACATATATACGTATGTATATACATATATATATATATATATAGAGAGAGAGAGAGAGAGTATGTACTATTCTATATGCTCTTCCGTCCTGCTTACAGCCCTGAAAGCCAGCCTCCGTCGGCAGATATTGAACAAATCTTCCAGGGAGGGTCCCAGAAGGTCCATCACCATCACGTTGTAGTCGCCTTGGAGAGCGCATGGCTGCTCGACTGCGGATGAAAGCACAGGCGCAGCAAGCTAAGGTCGGGACCTTGTGTATCCGAAAAATACACCTGAGCCAGGGCAACGCGCCTTCGCAAATTCTTGCAAAGTAATTCGTTCCCGAGACAGCTAGGATCTTGAGATGGTAAAGACAACTGCTGCCGCAAAGGCAACCCGCACCAAAGTCCCGACCCACGTGCGGGGTGGGGCTTCCTAACAGGTCCTAACAGACCCATCGGTCCTTTGGTATATGCTAACCCACATAATTCAAGTCAGCCAAGAAGCTGATGCAAATCCTTGGGCACCCTCCAAATGCTTGAGGAGTTTTGCCTGGCAGCGAAGGCAAAGGTCACTTGCTGTCTGGATCCAATCGCCCTAGGAGAGCAATGGAAGTAGTCAAAAGTAGGCAGCAGTGTCTCGGCGCGTGCCAACGCAGGCGCCTCATAAAGGAGCATCGGGTGCTTGCTATCCACGCGCTCGAGCTTGACTGCGAGCTCTTTTCCGGTCCTCAGTTTCCGCGGATGCCGGTGTCTGCCGTCGGACAGGACTTAGCTGCAACAGTAACCAAGAGACTTCAGTCTGGACTGACCCCCACCTCCAGTTATAACTACACCTTCTGAACGCCTTGCATGTGGGGGCAATTCCGAAAAGACTCACAGTATCTTTCAGGACAGCGCCAGGTCACGCACAAGAAGTGAAAGCAAACGTCAAGTTCGCAAGCTTGGTTCAGCAGCATGCACCGCTACACAATGGGGAAGATCTTGTTTTATCCAGCAATCATCAGCACACTGGGAGAAAACAAACCGTCTTCGCCGACTGTAAGGCCATCACCCCCCACTACAGCCGGCCAAACTAGAGTTCGCTCAACGAGCACTCAAGAGTTCGCCGGAGCACTGCGAGTCCACTGCATAGTAGATCTCACCAAAGGATCCAGAGCCCAGCTTGCGGCCCAAGCAGTAAACGCTGCCGACCTTTGGGTTTGGGGCTGCCGGATGCTTCTCAAAGCAAAGAAGGAATACTCAGGCCCAAATGATGCCCATGCAAAGCTCTAGAATCGAACATGAACTTGGAAGACATGTGTTCTCGACGAAAGAAAACTCACATGTCATGCTTTCAGCAAAGCATCTTTCCCGATGCGCTGTGTCATCGAGTCCTTGTCTTGAGCGCTGCCTTGGCTAGAAAGATGTACTCGCCTCTACTCTGACTCTCAACCTGTCTTCCGATCGTGTGCCCATCGCGCATATCTACATAAGCGCATACATGCATACATACATACGCATGTACGCACATACAGTAAGTGTAGCACTTGATCTCCACACTGCTCCCGGTTTTCATCTCTCTTCCTGTCTAATCCGCAGGCAAGCATACGTGCCGAAGAGTCAAATCAACAACCCCTGGGATCGCGGTTCGGGCGGTTCTCGGATGTACCACAGGTGAGCGGGAAGTGACTGAATATGTTATCTAGAAGTATGTAGGTAAGGCGGCAGAAATTTTACAAGTTAACGTAAGGCTTCTGGCAAGTAGGTCGACATGACATAATTGTACATATGCACTACATAGACCAAATTAAACATTTGCAATCTGCACATCATGCGCTACCGTGCATGCCTGCACCTGGTCTCTGTAGCATCTGCCTGCATCGTTGCACGAGAGCCATGTGCGTGTGGCGCCTTTTTACTGGAAGCTGGCCACAACGCAGCGCACGGCAGCGGAGTGAGGATCGGAGCAGGCAGTCCCAGTTTTCGTGGCCAGATCCCAAACGTAGACCTGCTGGGTTTCTGATAGAAAGGGTACCGTGAAAAAAGCTTGTCCAGGGCCACCTCCAACTCAGATTGATCACAGTTTTCGGTTGCTTTGAATGCATCTTCTCTTGACTTACGACACCGTCTTTCACATGATGGCAGCCTCAAAAGCGATCCTACTCGTATCTTTGATCCACCTGCCCGTCGAAGCTGCCGCTCACAGCATGGCCGGACTCAAAGTCCACGGCCAAGGCACAAGCCGGGGCACCTGGCTCACTCTGACACATCATAATTATATAAGTATATATATATATATATACACATATATATATATATACAATATGCTACAACATATAACAACAACAGCAACAACAAGAACAATACATGTCATAAAGACATACATACACACATACATACATACATACATACATATACATATGCCTCTTAGAACGTCGATGTAAAACACGAAAGCCACACGAAAGCCAAGCGGATATAAAACAAGGAAGCCAAACGACAACAAGCAACACCATGTTGTGCAAGGTCTAACCTGGAACAGTGTAATCTACAATGCAGTAATATGTCGCATATGGTGTATATTTATATAATGAGATGTGTGTGTGTGTGTATGTATGTCTGTATGCATATGTACATACAGATACACATGTACATATACATATATAAACCTATAAAGTTTTTTTTAAAACCTTTTGAACAGCCATGGTATATTCAAGCATAATATTATTACAGTATGTTATATGCATCCTGATTCTACATCACATTACGTCATATCATTTCATATCATACTAGATTGTGCTACATTACATTACATGAATGCACACATTACTTTGCACGAGTAGAATCGCGCACAATATAATGCTGATAGACTCTGTTCGGGTCACTTTGGCTCATCATGGGGTGACAGCATAGAGGGCTTGGAGGGCCGGATCAGGCGGGCACGGATAGGCCAGCCAAGCTAATATAGATGCTTCAAGCCAAGTAGCCTCGCCAGCTGTGAGATTCGCCGGTCTTCACATCCCAGAGATGGAGTTGGCCATCAAAGCTGCCACTCATCGCTCGCTTCGTGGAAGTGAAGCTCTGGCTTATTGCCCAAACCGGCATCAGAGACTGGCTCTCCACCATATGCTGAATGGTCAAGTTGGCCAAGTCCCAGGTGCAGAAGATCCCGTCATCTGAGCCACTAGCAGCCAAGGCCTTTGCGAAGTCTGCAGCGACCACCTGAACCAAGCCCTGGTGGTAGGATCCAAAGGAATGCACGCAAACCTCCTCAGAGAGATCCCAAACCTGCACAAAGCCGCCCTCATGGCCGCTGACCTCTGCTACAAGTCAACAAGAACAGCATCTGGGAAGGGGTTGTGGCTGCCAGGACGATCGCGACTACGACATGCATGTGACAGCTGGCAGCTAGCGGCAGCATACTTTTGATAACGGTACTTGCTACTTCACTACGACTATCATCTGCACCACTGCTGTAAAGCGGCAGGCATCAACGATCTCATATCAATGTAACACCGACTACTGCCGGTAAACGGTTTGCTAGCTGCTTCGTACTTCCTACTTCCCTGTCCGAAAGTTACTGTTGCTAGTGGATACGTTGATGCGAGCCCTTGCACCAGACCCCTGCCAAAGCCACTGCAATCGTTACCAGCTGCTATTCCTGCTTTCAACCGGCAGTTGATATAATCTCCAGATAACAGTTCTTTCAATTGGCGTTTGTTCAAAAGCCTTTCTGGAAGCGAAGCCGGGATACCGCTGCCATGTCCTCGCAACTGGCTGCCAGAGCCCAGGGAGTGTTATTTGGACAGCGAAGCGTCAACAGGCTGCCGCGCTGACCTTTGCCAGTGAAGGATCCAAGAAACTACGACATCCAAAACCCTCTGCTTCAGCACAAGCGACTTGACCAACATCAAGTCCCCACCGTCCAGCTGTTGCTGACAACGATCCCTAACCACAGGAAAGTTGCAGCTGCACGGCTCATGGCATGTTGTACCTCATCTGCTGGCTAGCATATATATGTATATCTGTATGTGTACACACATACAAAGACTTACAAGGATACACATACGTTCCCTTGCACATTCAATAAATGACCATGAGAAAGGCCGCTCCGGTGATGGGGGTCACCGGTCATTGCCTTTCTTGGGGGCAGGATACAAGGTGCAGGTTTGCCAAGACAAAGCTTTGGCCTGACTCGATGGCCCCAATCACAAATACTAATCATTACTCATCTTTGCATTGAATCTAGACTCCGGAGCTGGCGACTTGCCCTGTCTGCATCAAGGGAGCTGAACGACCAAAGCCGGAGTGTGCCGTCGTCAGAGCCACTGGCAGCCCAACGACGGCCGAAGTCGGCTGCCACAGCACAAACGGCCCCAGCGTGGCCTCCCGACGGATCACACGGGAACTGCTTGACTGCTTGGCCCTCTAAGATGCTCAGAGAATGGCTTCACTGCTGTGGCAAGTAGATGTGCTACAGTCTACAGTTTGCTACAAGTACAAAAGAAATTCCGAACCTTCACAGCTAACTCGAGGCTTCGCGCTGGTGAGATGCACTCCTCTTTCAACCGGCCAGGCTGGAGAGTCTTGGAACACCTGCGTAATTTCGCTTCAAAACGGCAGGGTATGGCTGACCTCGAGTGGAGTTTCAGCTCAACTTAGGAGCGGAGCCGGCGAAGCGAGAAGCCATTTGTGGTAGCAATGTTCCAAGCTTTCTTGAAAACTCGGATCCACACATCCTCATCATTTGCGAAGCGTTTGACCGAATTGTACGCGGGTCCTTTGGGATCAACGGGAAGGCCGCAGTCAATCGAGGAGTGCGAGGTTCTGGTAAACTCCGCCCCACAGCAAAGGGCCCGCTGCTGCCTGAAATTGGAGCTACCGGGGATTGTGGTACTGCCGCAGAACCGGCCCTCTTCGTACTTTTCCGTCGCTTCAGACACAGAGACGGGGACATCCCAAGTGCAGAGGCATTCATGGCTTTCCGCGGTGGCCGCATCAAGCTCCACGGTGCCCTCATTATCCATGGTGAAGGCAAGGCAAAGGTCCGTGTTGAGCATCATCTCTTTACCAAGCGTGGTGTCGTTGGCTCCAGAATCTGCTCGCTTCCACTGGTTCTTTCCCGAGTTTCCTGCTACTGCGACCTCAGGGGCCCAACCCTTGGCCAAGATGGACACAAAGTAGTCATTGTTGAAATTGCGGCTCATCACTGCGGAGCTCCACCAGCCATCGTAACCGGAGTTTGCCACATGTGCACGTCCAAGCGTGTGCACTCCCATTAATGCTGCTGCTTCACCCCAGGTGAGGCCCATGCTGTCGACGAAGGTCTCCTGAACTGCTGAGCAGCTGTTTTCCGGATTGGGCAATCGTCCATGCGCCCATTCACATGTCGTGGCCGTTGTGCGGCCAAACTTGAAAGAGGACTTGAAATCGATTGTGGACCTGCTTGAATCAGCTGCTGTCACGTGCTGGCGGGATGCAGTCATGACTGCTTCAGCAGCAATGACGAGAAAGTCAGCCAAGGAGACAGACTCACAGTAATGCTGGTATGCGCTATTGATGGAGATGCCAAACTCGCCAAGATGCAGGCATTCGGCAAGGCCTGCATTGTCTGCATCTGTAAGGTCCACGCAGCCATCTGCACCACCCTCGCCATCTTTGTAGTCCATGAAGTCATGCCCAGCCATTCTGAGGACACATCCCGCCCAATCCGCCTGTGGACACTCCGTCGCTGTGCAGGTGCCTCAGTGCACGACTTGAACGGGTCAAGCAAGCTACTATTACCTCCATCGCAGAACATGAACCAGGAAACGGATTCTTTTCGGCTCATGTTGCTTGGCAGCGAGTCATACAGGCCTATGACCTCTGCTGTGATCTCGTCGTAGGTGGCCTCTGTCATCCTCCGTGTGGTGAGGGCCTGGGTGCCCGGACAGGTCATCATATAGTAAGGGCTCGCCCAGGTAGTGCTAGCAGTTGTTTCGGTAGCCTCCTTCTGCATAGACATGGCCAGGTCTACTTGCAAGAGGCTCTGGCTGCCCACAGGGCCGGGGCATGTGTCCGTACTACACGTGTCCAGGCCGCTTGCGTGCCGGACAAGTCCGACGCATGCGAGGAAGAAGGTTATCTTCTTGGCCATCGCCGCTAAAGTGCAAAGGATAAAGTCGTGTGCGAAAGCTTGAGCTCTAGATGGCTCTAAAGTCACAACAGCCTCACCTGTCGCCTAGCTCTCCGAGCTCTGCTTCAGTTCACAACTTCTGATGCCCCTAAACCCGGATATCGCGCAATCTTTCTACGCAGGCTGACCAGGCAACATGCACAGCATGAACCGTGCCTTCAAAGCTGCGCAAGCACTCCTGGCTTTGGGATCTGTCACATTGCGGGATCAGAGTTACATAGAGTTACTAGGTGCACTAGCGCAGGCATGCTGGGATCTGGCTCGAAAACGATCATCACATGACGCTGACCAGTGAAGACTCCAATCTAGGCCCTGCCACGGCCAAAGCAGTGTGGCAAGGCCTCTACCAAGCGGACGACAAGCCCGTGCCTCCCGTTCGAGGTCCCAAAGCATCAGCGAACCATCTGCCGAGCCGGACAAGGCTAACCTCCGAGACTGCAAACGTGATGCCATGAAGCTGATGTCTGCCGGTCCCATCACCGGACCCCACGCTGGACCCCGGCATCAGTCGCTCTGGCCGAGGCACTTGGAAGTGATGTCTGCATCCACGGACCAAACCTGGGCTGCACTTGGCTTGCGATGTCTTCGCCCCTCAGAACAGCCGAATGTCCAACCAGTCTGCCAACCCGGATCGAATCGAATCGAAAAAGCAGGGACCAGGCTTGTCAGAACCTCTGAAAACCGGGCCGGAAGGCCGCGCCACGATGCCCCGTGAGCGTGGCAAGGCAGGCTTTGCTCTGGAGGTCCCAGAACTTCACGGAGCCGTCTTCACAGCCTGGAGACGGTATGGGACACTCCCTGAGACATCTCCCCAAGCTGGATCGTCATTTCTAGACTTTCGGCTTCACCTCTGCAAGATGGACAGGCCCGGACCTGTGACGGCTCGTGGTGAAGGTGGGATCACCACTACGTCCACTTCCTTCCCAGCCAGTGGGGCGGCCAGCGAATCCTGGCTCCTCGAAAAGCCGAACCAACATCAACGAGGGATCGTAACTACAGGAACACTTAAGTCACGTGCAAGCCAAGCTGCAGGACGTCTCCATCCAAGATGAGGCGGATGCGCGCTGCAGGTGCTTGCAAGGCCTCAGGTTGGAATGTCCATAGGCGGGCAAACACTAAACTCACTAAACTGTGATTGGAAAGAAGAGGCTCGCATCAAGCCACAAGTACAAGATTGCAGCTTTCATCCGGACGCACACGAGTCGAGACTATCCACGTGTGTGTGTGTGTGTGTGCGGGTGTGTGTGTGTGTGTGTGTGCATGTGTGTGTGTGTGTGTGTGTGCATGTGTGTGTGTGTGTGTGCGTCCGTGTCTGCACACGTCTGTCCAAGAGTCCAACATCGCCCGCTCTAGCCATTACAATAGCAAGTCTGCGCCCAAATGGCTTCGGCCGCGCGGAAGCAGAGCGAAGCCACAAAGTCGCCGGGCTTCAACTGAAGGGGATCATTTCGAGTTTCGTGGTTTTGGCTTGGCTGCATCTGCTTCTGCCGTAACAGTAGTGTGACGATGTATCACGGCACAATCTTGAATGGTACTGTACCGCGAGGCGAGGTACTCGCTGCATGCTGTTGAACAGCTGCTACTGTCTGTCTGATGTTATATCTTCTAAACCTTGTGTGTGCAGCCTGTTTACCGTATGGGCTTGGTAGTGCCGGTAGGTGCTGCCCTCTTTCAGAGCTGCTGGCTGAACGGCCAATCTGAATGGAGCACGTCACACCAAAACCTTTATCAGCGCTTCCTGTAAGGCCAACTGTCACGCCACATGCCGATGAGTCATGTTGTGCAAAACTCGGCCCCAATTCTCTTACTAAAGACCCTCAATTCCTCCTGAGCCCCAAAATCTAAGGTCCTGCAGTCAACAACGGGCCGATGCCTGGAAGTGCAACCGCTCTCCACTCAGGCGGCGCAAGACCACCCGCTCCTTTCATAACATGCGCTCTGACAGCGTTGCCCGCACGTACCTACCGATCGTGTATCTGTGTCCTGTAGTGAGTGGGTCCATGTACATATGATCGCACATCGATGCAGCCTTACAATCACTCAAGCTTGCATTGCATTCGTGCACCCATGTATGCAACATGCGCGCGTACCTACCTGTATATCTGCCTGCCTGCGTGCCTAGACACAAGCTTTAACTTGAACCTTAAATGAAGGAGGTGCATCCGTAGGTGCATGCGTCTGTAAAAAGGGCATATGCAATCTGCAATGGATTGATGGATGGGTGGGTGGATATATGTATGCACATGTGTGTGTGTGTGTGTATGTGTGTGTGTATGTGCGTGTGCACAGTGTATATCGAGATGTACGGACTCACAAGCAAAGCATGGAGTGTAAATTTGTCATCCAAATTTCTAATGCCTCTTGCGCATCGCTTCCTAGCTCCCCGTGTTGCTGCCGTTGCAATCCATCTCCCTCCAGCCACGCGCAGAAACACCTCCAGTGTCCATCTGAAAGAAGTAGGCACAGGAGCCTGTCCACCCTATCAGGCGCATGGCCTTGAAAAGGAAGAGCCCGATCCTCGATCAACCACCCCGAAATCCATCCTCCGTTGTGCTCTGGGCATCCTCGAGCCCCGACGGCCACTCCTCCAGGGGCCAAGTCTGCTCTTGAATCCCGTACGTTTGTACATCACTCGTGGTGCCGTGGGCTGGTTTCCATTTGTCCGACCACTTCGGCGAGGCATATGCTCTGAGAGTTGAAACCAAACTGGAGAGACTCCGCATTACACATTCCCTGAACGATACCCCCGCTGAAGGGCGGTACACTCTCCTCCCTCCCTCCTTCCCACCGACAGTCTATCGTCATTCATCAACCCAAGTTCAGGACCTTCGAGCACAAGCAGCTATTAGCGATAGCTGAGTTGTGTAATTACCCCTGCGCTCCTGGGTTTAGGGGTTTTGTGTGGCTGGCACAGATTCACAAGTGCTCCCTACCGGCACAAGGGAGGACAGCACAGAACATCCCAGTGCTGTTGCGCTGCCTACAGCTTCAGAGACGCCGCAAATCTAAGATTCCTGGATCGGTCGACGGACGACTAACCCCTCAACGGCAAAGCCCAGCAGGCCTGCCTTGCTAGGCAAAGGACCAGACAGCAAACGCCCAAGACCCAGATGTTGTCCATCAATCCTAGGGTTCACGTCGGTGGGTCCGCACTCGGGGTTTATGCACTTCACCTGCAGACCTTCTGCAAACTAGTGTTGCAAACTCAGCATGATTACAGGACGTCAAGGTGCCGGCTTTGGTCGGAGGCCATGCCAGCACTGAAAATGAAAAGCAGGACAATGCGAATGCACACAACTTGCGAAATAAATCCTGTGCCTCCGCAACTTCTCCTCTTTTGCATTGAACAGTGCATGTGAACAGCATCAATGCTCCAAACTGCTCTCACACCCCACCTCGATTCCAAACCTGAAACCTCCATTGCTGGTGCCGGGCTCCCTAGCCCCAACTATATGCTCGGAATGGGTATCCCAAAAGCTGTGAGCCCAGATCCACCAAGTCCCAGGATCAGGGCGAAACCTCGACCCAAAGGGTCATCGCTGGAGAGTCGCTCAGGACAGGATCGGGCCAACCTTGTTCCACTGCTATGTGTGTGTATATATATATATATGTCTAAATAAACACATAGATAAACAAATAAATAAATGTATATGTATGTATGTATGTATATATATATATATGTACAGCGATAGATGTATACAAAACCACTCGTCTATGTATATCTGTATATGTACGTATGTATGTATACATGTGACTATAATTTGTTCGTATTCTTGCTGCATTGCTCCCTCTTCGCTTACTTGCTTGGATCTGCGTCCTGTTTAGAATACTTGTCTACTACGTATTTGCTGCGTGCAATGTATACATACCGTGTACATATGCAGACAATTGCAGACAGTACGAATTAACGTATGTATGTGTTGACATACATACGTAGAGGTTGTTATGTTCGCCTTTCCCTTTGCGGATGGTGCCTCCCCGTGGTACAGCCTTCGCTCTAACGCGGTTCTCCCCTGCGCAGAAACACCTGATGTCACACCGATCAGTGCATGGACACCCGTCGCCTGCCTCACGCCCCGCCCGTGGTTTGCGTGGTGGGTTCTGTTCCGGTTCGCGGTGACGATCCCATCTTCCCATAACGGCGACTGTCACGAGGATCGCGCCTGACCGTGTGATCTCCTTCTCGAAGCTGTTCGTTACTACAGTACTGGTACCTGCGATCCTTTCCTGCTTGATTCGGCTCTTCGACAGTGACCTTTCGTCCCACATTGCTAGGCGACCTGCTTGAATGTGGGTTCCCTACGGGCAAGAAGAACTAAGGGATGCAGCCTTCAACCAAGATCTCTCGTAGTGGAGATCGAGCGACGCACGAGGCGACAACACATGAAGCCATGGGATGTTGCTACGACGACGTGATTTTAGAGGGGATTTGCTCGAAGGTTCATGACATATGAGCATCAAACGCCTACTCACTATATATGTGTATACTTATATACATATATATACATATATGTATATATGTATATATGTATATATATATATATATATATATATATGTATCATCCGATGCTTTACCAAAATGGAAAGAGAGAGGCAACTCAACTTGAAGCCCAGCCACTGCATGAAGGTGAGCTCCACCCACCCGCGGCCATTCACATCCGACACTGCGCTCGGGGACACCTGGATCTTTTGTCCGCGGTGGACCCAGCCCCAGGAACGAGCATCTTGCTGGGGGGCTTTCTTGATGAAGACCTTGTCGTAGGTGACCTCGTACCATTCCGCATTCTCGATTTGGATTCGTGGGTGCGGCTCTACAGGCAGACTGTCATCCTCCAGCGGTGTGCCAATGCTATGACCGGCTACAGCCCTTGCCACCCTCCAGATCAGCCCCACTTGGGCAGCTTCTGCTGGACAGAGTGCCCGCGACGAGGGAAGCGGTGCCACGCCATGCAGTGCTGCCACGGCCGCCGGGCGGCCCTGCTGGTCCAAACGAGCAATGCGAGCGGAGATGATCGCCTTTCGAAGCTGCTCTGGCGCGATTTGTGCGACCTGCCAAAGGTCTGCGAAGCCACCGCATTGGTCGCAAACAGCGTCCCATGCCTCGGGTTCCAACCCTGCCCAGTCTCTTGCATCCTGGATGTCTTGGAACTGCCGCAGCTTTCCACCTGTTTCCGCCGCCTTTGTCTTCTCACATGTGGGGCCGTTCGGCTTGTATGGCCTCCTTTGCGCTACGCGGGCCGAGTCGCTTGGATCCGGGGGCAGTAGCTGCGTTGGCCGGAGCAGCAGTGGCTGCTCTTGTAGAAGCATATTGCTCGAAAGGTGTGAGTGTGACAACGGAATGGCTGTGAACTGGCGCTAGCTGCACTATTGCTGGTAACATCGTTGAACAGACCTTTTGAAAGCCTTGCGTTGCATGTCGTTACTTGAGACCGTCTTGGTTGTGTCCTAGTGCACTTCTAATTGTACAGTAATGAACCTCGCTACTCGTCTAGAGTTACCACCTCTATGACGATGCCTGCAGAGCCTGACTTCGGGCTACTCATTACTCATGTGCGACCGTCTTGAATTCTGAACCAGTCATGCGTACCCACAATACCAAAGCGACTCTGCAAGACCCCAGCTGGAGCCGTAATGGAACAGCAATGGGCCGGGCTGACATAGCGGCGAAATGCGGCGAATAAGACTGTGGCATGGCTACAACACTGGCATGACGGCCAAAGCTGCGAAGCCGGAAGTGCCCGGCTTGGATAATCAGATCATCTCTAGTCTTCAGCTGTGCTGCTCATGGATGCAATTTGGTACCCTCACGCGAAGTCCATGGCACGGCGCGCTCGCTACGGATGCCTCTAGCTTAGGCAACGTCTGTACTGGCGAGGAGTGCCTCGTGTCCGGCCGACATCTAGTGTGGCTGGATAGCCGGAAACCGACTTTGTTCTCTGAAAGTGTTACGCACTGAACACGGACATCTCAGGCGCCTGCAACAAAGCATAACCGTATGAATATGATTGAGGCCAGCATTCGGCGACTGACGCGCGACGGCCGAGCCGACAAGATCTACAGCCCCTAGTTGCGGGCTCTTTGGGCCAAAAGCGCGAATGACAAGACAAGCAAAAGGTAGCGTATCAAAGATATGCCGGCTTCCCATCAAAGAATATGGCATATGGGCCAGTCGGCTCATGAGACCAAAGGAATTTCCAAGGTTGAAAGGAGTGGGGTTGGCATTTAATGACGAACAGTGCAGGATGCACCGGGCAGAAGCCAACATCTTGCATACCTCCGTCACGGTGAGTCCCACCTGGCAGGTGTCCTTCGTCCCATTTCTGCAACCTCATCTTCCACGACTTGAGAAGGGGCCACGAGAGCAAAATGGGGAAGGAAGTAGGCAACACTGTGCCGCACCGTTTCTTTATCATGGACCCTGGAAGTTAGTGCCTGGGCTAAGGCTCGGAAGTAAGGGGAGGCTGAGGACGGGAAACGACACCTTCAGCCTGTTGTCGCAGCCTGACTTCGACGTCTGATGGAACATCCACCGAATCAATCAGGCCGGTTGGGAGCTGTCGCTGATGCGACCAAGCTGCAGTTCCTGGGAGCCTGCAAGGCCACATGTGTTTGAAAAGAAAGGATTCAGAAACCTGACGACCTCATGTCCAATGTTCGTCAGAAAGACTTGCATGTGAGCAGGTTTGTCGAAGCACCCAAGCACCTGTCTGTAAAAAAACCCTGAGACCAAAGGCAATCCCTATCCCTCAGTCAGGCCTGCCGGACATCGCAACGGCTGCCCAAAGGCAGTGCAAGACTGCCAGGGCCGGAGCAGTTCCCGGGGCCTTTGGCGGCTGGCTTCGGCAGACTATGCAGTCTCTGAGAACGCTACCGTTCGTCCGCGTCCACATTTTGAAGGACGATGGCTCTGAGATGTCTTTCGAGTCGTGTGTGCATGTACATACACGTTTAGATTTTATTAACCTCTCTCTTTCTCTCCTGGGCTTGGGGACGGGTCAACGTCCCCGGGCTGCACACCCACTACGTTGAGTGGGTGCTGCGGGGAGTGAAAAACGAGTGCAATGCTCCCCACAGGCTAAGGCCGTGAAATCTGCAATAACGCTTTTGGGGTGCATGTACACTCTCTCGCAAACATTCCCAGTTCCCCTTCTCTCTCTTTGGTTTGCTTTGGCGGATGGTGCACAGGCAATCCCTGTACCCGCGCGATCGCGCACCCCATCACCGATTTTCAGAGAGGGGGCTCGGCAGCATAAGGAAAACTACTGACAGGAGTGCCCGTATCACTAACTCTCTTTGCAGGAAAGGAGGGATCAACCTGCTTTAATTTGCGGTGCCGGAAGTCTGTTGCCTGCCGCAGGCACGCCACTTTGTTGGTTACATCCGTCGGGTGTGTGCCCCCTTCGCTGGTGTGACTACGACAGCATCACTCAAGTCACTTTCTGGGTGGCTCGGTTTCCCCTGTCGAATTGCAAATGGGCTTTGCTCGTGTCAAGCTTGATTGCTGGTACTCCGTGGGCTCGGCTCGGTGGGAGCTTTAGTTTGCCCTCGTATCCAATTTCGTAGTTGTCGCGCCCTCGGTGGGCTTCCCGTGTCTTGTCCCCAGGTGTGTTGAGTTGGTGTACCACGTTCTTGTCCTGCATCGGCCGTGTGCCTTCACTTTCAGTCTACCAGATAGGGTAGTAGGGCTCTGTCCACGGGGTCACCACCTGGTCTTTTGCAGCTGCTGCCTCCCTCCGTGCCACCGTGTTTTTGTTCTCTACATTTTGAATCTTCCACCGTACCTGGTCCGGCGCTGGACGGCGAGGATAGAAGCCCTCCTTGTGGTGTGAGGTACCCGGCTCCAGTGAAAGGATGATTGTGCCACTGAAAGGGGAGGGCAATGATGCCAAAACAAGCAACTAAGCACAAAAGATGACCGCAAACAGATCTGTTCGCCCTTCATTCTTGTGGCGGGTGCCATTTGCAGACAGAATCCCGAACTCAAGGCTGATCTCAGCTCACTCGAACCTCAACGTGCCACTGAACTCTGAAACCTGCGGGGGCTCTCATCTTCGCTTCCCGCGGAATTTTTTGTGACCGTATAAGGATACGAGTAGTTCAATTCAGAAGGATCGGGAGCAACTGGGGAGCCATCTCCCCAACAAAAATGCAACTGCGACTGTCTACCAATCCACACCCACAATACAATGCTTGCACATGCAAGCAGTACAACTGCTGCTTTGCATGCTGCAGTCATACTGTCCCTCATGGTCCTGGATTCCTGGATGTTACAAGCTATCCGACTATCCCTCTGTTCGCACACTCAAATGCTTACACAACCCGTAGTTTTTTTTTATCGCTCTCTCTCTCTCTCTCTCTCTCCCTCTTCTTTCTCTAGAGATCAGCGGAGCTGCATTGTCGGTCTGGTGCAGTTTCCTCGCTTCGCCCCGAAAGGCTGAGGCTCCGACACCTTACCACCCCAGTGCTCGAAGTGCCTCCATGCATGGGGCACGTCAACGATGGACAACCCATTTAGACAGCCCAACTACAGCTCACATATGCCCAGGAAACGATGGCTCCAAAACCCGTCCGGAACGGTTTCTCCAATTTCGAGCCATGAAGGCAAAGGAAGGGGGGGATGCCTCTGGGATTCGGGATCCGGTGGTGGAACCCCCACCTCATCGAGGATGATGTAGTACCTCCAACCACTTTCCAACACGCAATTAGCCAAAAAACCGACTCTTGCATCCTTCGGACGCCTGTGCACCTCAGGGTTTAGTACTGGATGACAGAGTTTAATCCTAGCCCTGGCTTTGGAAGGCAACTTCGCCGCACAGATGTTGATTTTGCTTGCGAGCTGAGAGGTGCCCTTGCCCTCGTGCATGCGACAAACCCTACTCCGGGCACAAGTCTGAATCTTCAGCATCCCGACTGCTCTGGAGCGTGTGCTGTTGGGGTTTCTGGTGAATACTTCACATGTGTCATGCTGGACGTATTGCCCGGCTCGCACCACTGCGACTGCGCACAGCGGTCACAGTGGAGCGCTCTCCGTTCGGTCCCAGTCTCTATGAAGAGTCCACCTGCGCCCCGGTGAAACCGTGGCCACAGGGCAAGCAGTGGAAGCGCTTCGACACAAATCACCTCACGCTTCACTCCTCAATCTTGGGAGCAAGATAATACTTCAGATGTCCCTTGTCCTCCAGATCATGCGGCCAGTGGCTCAATCAATGGTCCCGACATTGTCACGATGCCTGCATTTCTCCCTTGTAACACAAGTGCCAGCTATCTGGACTCCTGGATCTTACACCAGCAAAGTAGGAGCCGAAACCCTGGTAGTCCATCGAACATCCCCTTGCAGAATTTAGCCGTCTATCCCATCGCCGAGTGTATGCCTCTCTGTGAATGAAGGAACGGAGTAGTGTCAGAACCGAGCCATCATGGACCTGTTTTTCTCGACCCAAAAGCCTTCAGGCGCCGAATTTCCAGACCATGAAGATAACGAGGCTGAATGCCTTCAGCCCGTTGGCATGTGACACTAGAGTGAGTGAATCGAGTAATACCTCGATAAAGAAAGGCATTCAACCTATCAATCACCGCCCAATACCATTACTGGCCAAGCCAGACTGAGCCATCAATAGTGCTTTAGACTTCAGTCAGCAAAGATCAGCAAAGACTACGTGCAAGACCAGAATTACCTTCGTCACAAAAACCAATTGCTTTATAAAGCTTGATCGGTCCTCACTCTCCAGGTCGTACTGCACCTGTAGTGGGCTCACTCGAAACTGTGTTTGGGCTGTCATTGGCCTTGTTAATTCTGTCTTGCATTCTTCTGAATGTGCTTTGCTTCGGCTGCTTTCGAGGACGCGGATTCGGACCTCAAGGCATCTTAGGCAGGGTTGCTGCTCAGGCTTCACTTCTACTCTACTTCTGCGATGGGGTTCAATGGGGTTCATCAAGATGAGAGTATGCTCAGTTTATTACTCTTCAAACCGTCAAGTGCGACTGCGTTGCCAGCAATGGGGCATCCGGGCCAAGCCCGAGCGTCACCGAGCCACACAGTGGTGCTGCCTGGTCGGGCACTAGAGCTTTTTCCCTCAAGGTCGCAAAGCCGCAGAAACTCTCTCTCTCTCTCTCTCTCTCCCGGGCATACTCACTCTCTCTCTCTCTCTCTGTCTCTCTCTCTCTCTCTCTGTCTCTCTCTCTCTCTTGCTTACTTGCTTGCAAGGCGTTTGGGGTACAGGGACGAACCCTGTGACCCCTGCTCGTGAGCGCTACGCCTCTCTCTCTCTCTCTGTCTCTCTCTCTCTTTCTTTCACCAGGCTAGAGGGCAAGCCCCCGCCCAAGGGGCTGCCCGTTGTTGGCGGTGTGCATGGTTCTACATGCGAAAGGTCAGAGTTACAGGCACCTCTTACATGAACTGCACAACAGGACTTTCAGGATGTGTATGATCACCCGGGGTGCCTTAGTAACCCCGCGAGTGGCCCTCGGACGGGACGGGTATTCCGCCCCGCTCTAGCATGTCCCAGTTATCGGCACAACAGTAGACTGGGCCTCAAGGCAGGACGGTACAATTACAAACCAGGGTACTGCACTTCCAAGCTGCTTTACTGTGGGCTCTGTGAGGTTGGGCACAACTCGCTCGACAGGCTCTACTCGCTCCGGGGCCCCGAAATGTACACAAGAGCTACATGCAGGTAAGCTAGACCTTGGAGTACTTGGCTTGTGGGTCCCCGCTGGCAGGGTACTGTACATTTCATGTGTGACCTACCGCCCCGGACAAGGAAACAAACGGAGGCCTGAGGAACCTGTGCAGTATCCCAAGACGGGCGAGGTCCTTCAGGTTACGCGACAGTCGCCCCGTGAACAAACACAACATGTCCCTCTCCCCTCTCTCTCTCTCTCTCTCTCTCTCTCTCTCTCTCTCTCTCTCTCAATACTACAGCGCTGCAGCATTCATTGCCCGGTCTGCCTACGGTCACCCCCGCCCTAACCCACAAACCCAACAGGATGGAGAAAACGGTGTACCGTTCGTCGTTAAATGGGTCAGATACAGTCAGATACACTCTGTGTCATTATGGATCTTCTCCCGGCTTGGAGAAGCCGGACGCAGGCCTTAGAGAAGTTCACCAAATATCGCAAGGCGAAGGTTGCGTTCACCGGCTCATGGATGGTCAGGCTCACCTTGTCCTGGCAGGCTGGAGTGGTTTGGCTTTTGTTCTGGACCGGATTCTGCATGGAAACTCTCTCTCTCTCTCTCTCTCTCTCTCTCTCTCTCTCTCTACCTGAGGTGAGGTCTGCAGCCGGCACAGCCAAGTCTGGCTGACATACGGGGTTTAGTGATTATCAGAAGCGATATCGATGACACTCTCGGCTCGGGCAGCAAGCAGCCATAAGCTGCCCGTCCTCGGGCTTCTCGCTCTCGCGAGGCTTCAGCAGGACATTCCCACTACCGATGTCGCCCTTCACCTGGAATTTCAGGCCCTCCTTGCTGCCGCTCAGCTGCAGAGTTTCCCCAAACTCCTTGCAAGCTGAGGAAAAGCTAGAAGGGTAGCAAGCAAGCACACGCACCAGGCAAGCGGGACGGACAACTTGTGAACTTTGAGCTGCAGCTTTCTGACCCTGTACGGTCATGAGTGCGTCCCTGGCTGCTGGCGTCCTTCAGGTCGCGGCAGATCTTTTGAAACTCCGAGGATGGCAGCTTCGCGATGACCTTGTAGTGCCTTGACAGCTCCAGCTCCGTCGTTGTCTCTAGTACATATTATATCTCGTACTGGTACCAGACATAGAGCTCCCCATCATCTCAAGCTCTGAAATGTGCAGCCGAAAAGCTTTGTAGTGGAAAAGTAGATATGGCGCAGCACAGTTAACACCCCACTGCATGAATCTGGTACCCCGCCAGACAGCATGTGCTGGAAAGACGGTCGCCTGTCTTTGGCGTGAAAAGCATTGCATTTCCTCGCCGGGGCCCAGGCTGCTCAGGGATCTCCATGTGCTCACTCTCGATCTGCATGAGCTTCAGTTCGAACTCCGAGATCCGGTCATCCGAACCCTCACATTGGAAGCCCACGACCTCATTCAGTTCTCAAGTTCCACTTAAACTCACAACAGCACGATACGACAACGACGACCCGGCTACGGATGGAATGGTCATGGACTAGTGACTAGAACAACTGCTGCGACCACGTTTGCTGCTGCTGCGTGTGCCCCGTCTCTGCTTATGCTGCACCTACTCAACTCTTATTCCCACTGCAAGTACGTCGATGCGGCCACTAACCCAACCACCACCACCGCCTTCCAGAAACTAGTGTAACCCTCCTCCTCCTCCTCCTCCTCCTCCTCCTCCGCCTCCTCGTGCGACAACGACAACAACTTTCTTTTGAGCAGGGACTATGCACCAAGCCCTCTGCTGATTCCCATGAGTGCTTCATTGACATCCGCCGCAACCGCGGCGACCACTACCGACAGGCAAGCTGCATCCGAGTCGACCTGGTGGCGGATTTTGAGCGAATCGTTTGGGCTCGTCATCTTCAGGATCTTTGTCAAGGAGTCCACGTTCATCCCCAAGGATGCCTGAGCAAGAAAAGGGTGGCATGAGTCAGCAAACGAACCTGTTGTGTGTGTCCTACAGTACAAGTAACATGTTGGAGTCGAGTCCTATGTGAAGAAGCCCGAAGGCTGAAGTGCCGGATAAGGATGCATGACACATTCACGCCGACGTCAGCTTTTGTCGCCAGGCTTTTCTCACAGCCGGTTCCGCAAGTAGAGCGCGCTGCGCCACATGCGCTTCGAGGCCAGAACCAACAAAAGCCCACGAACACAACAGTGCCGGTGAGCTGGGCCCTTACGGTACGAACATGTGGCGGAGCTGAGCCCACCCACCGTCTCAAACACCAGAATGCCACACAAAGTGGCTGAAACGGAGAAAGCGCGCACTGTTCAAAGGTACGCAATGAAACCCTTGCCCCTTGCCGCTGCCGTGTTCGGCGGGCGGGCCAAGTCTAAAGCGGTCGTCCGCAGAGCATCGGCACCGCAAAAGGTGCCAGTACCTCCTTTGATGTATACAGCTCGCTTTTGGTGACCTATGTGACCTCTTCTGTCACTACATGTCACTACACTACACACTCCACGGCTCAGATGCTGATTGAAATTCATCAGAGCTGAACACATTCTACGGACAATGCCCGTCCTCAGCTTCTCAGACAACGGATGCTTTGCCTTGTAGCCAACCAGCCCGGAGTCCTTAGCAGACCGAGCCCCCTGGGCAAGGAAGTGTGTGCGGCAATCCGGCAATCCCGCGACCGACTCCCAACTGCCAGGTCTCCGAAAGGAATAAATGAGCTGCTCAGCAGATTCACTCCTGTGTGCAGTGTTGGATCAACCAGCTCCGGAAGATGATTCCTCGGATGGCAGTGTCAATGGGGGGTCCCACTGCGTCCACTGTGACTAAGACTCTGCCGAGATTCAGTGGCGTAGGCACTGAGTCAGAGCCGTCCTTTAAGGACAGCTTGGTGCCAGCGTCTCAAAGCTCCGCTCGCCAGGCTTTACGGAACTCTGGCTACTTAGCTACTTTATCACGGAACAGTCCTGATCCTTGCTTTGCGGTGCTTGCTCACTCGACGACAGCATCGAGCTCTCCTCTGCCAGTTCCTCCAGCACAGGAGCCGCATCGGGCGAAGAGAAGCTCTTCGGAAGGTGCAGTCGCGAGCCGTCCTTTGCAATCTCCTGCATGAACTCCTGCAGAGACACCAGATGAGACCGAGAGCCACAAGTCGCACGAGCGGGAGCACCCAGCGTGTCCTCGTAATCCATTCCTTGGATCTCGAGCATGGTCTTGAGGCCCTCTCGAAGGCGCTCCAGGTGCAGTTCCTGCAGAGTCAAGCAAGCCGAGAAGGAAGCTACGTAGCTACAGATATGCTCTATGTCTGTACAGCACGTCACGTAACATGCATCTCGAACTTGGCGGCCTCCAGCTGCTTGAGCTGGTCTGCACACTTCTTTTTCAAGCTCACGTTCTCCTTCAGGAGCTTATGACGATAGAGCTTGAGTTGCTTCTGTTCCGGACTGGACCCGCCTCATGCAAACGCTGCCCGTGAGCTAGGAGCCTGCCGTAACGGCGCTTCAACTCGTTCTTCTCCTGCGGGAGGCCCGGTCCAATTTGCTATTTACAAGACTTTTACAAGAAAGTATGCGCACATGCTCAACGACTGCAAAAGCATTTACACAATCTACGAGCCTCTTCGTGCTTCTGTGCGTTTTCCTCCAAGACGTGGCTCTTGACTGAGAGACTGGCGACCTTCAGTTCCAACTCCTCCCTTGGCCGCAGCATGCTTCGCTGGCACACGCCAGCCCTCAGCCTAAACTGGCCCAGCGGCATTCTCGTCCCACTTCCGATAGAGTCGATTACCCCTATGAGGCGCGTAACTCTGTCCTCCGCTTCGATCCTGGCCCAAGCGCCATACTCAAGAGGGACGGCTTCACGCCGGGCGCTTCATGACTGCTGGTAATACCCGCCTGCGCTCAGTCTCCTTGCGCAGCTTGTCTTGAAGTTCCTTGAGCTGCTCTTCGCGGCGCTCTTGCTCGCATTCTTGTCGCACGAGCATCTCCATGCACTGGCGGTGGCCTAGTGCACCGGTCGGGACTGACATACAAAACAAGTCTTCATCCAGCATGCAGGAGAGCTGCCAGAGGTTAGCAGCTCTCCCGTAAACCGATTACCCGATAGAGTCTCTAATTGCAGGCTCAGGCGCGGGACCACCGCCACGACATCGAGTCCTCACCAGAGCCTTGATCCAGATCATGGGCAAGGTGAGCATCTCCCGTGTTTGCCTTGGCGGCTCAAGTGCACTGAAGAGGTATGCAAGAAGGACTCTCACAAACGCATAGGGCATAGAGACCTCGTGCTCTCAGCACGCCACTTCTCCTCTTTGATCCTCCGGCTCGACGGGCGACGTCCTCTCCATCACGGACCTCTCATCGATCAGAGAGCCACCAGATTGCTCGGATGCTTGCAGACATGCTTTCTCCAAGCAAGCTAACCTAACTGCGCCCAGGCACTTCAGTTGGAGTTGGAATGCCGTGGTCCGTCTCTAGAGCCGGGCAAGCTGCTGCAAGACGAGAAGTCTAACTCCACAGCTCAAGCTTTCTGTGAATGAAAAGTCTGTCTGCCGCTTCTCGGTGGCAGCCTCACCGAGCGGCTGATTCCCCCAAAGATATGCAAGAACTCCAAGCACCATGGGCCAAGGGGAAATACCCTGAACCTTCAGAATACATCCCCAACGCCCGATGCTTGCAACTGGAGTGCCGGGCGCTCGCACTTGAAGTCTGTGAAAGCCGACTCTTTCAGGTTCAAGGAGACCAGGGCGACGTGTGAGCTGTCCATCGATTGCACCTGGTTGCTTTTGAAAGCTTCAGTGAGTGCATGATCGATGCTTGCCTGATAAATCTGCCTGTAGTTCACATGAGAAGATTCTACCTTTGCATCCAGGGGCTCTGCAAACACCGTCTGCTTATGCTTGTGTTAAGGCGTTGGTTTTCTGTCCTCTCCACCCTAGGCTCTAGGGCCCTACCTTGTCTACTGTCATGGAGGTCAGGTGGATTTGGCCCTCAACCCGGCCCAGTCACACCAAGTCACCAAGTTCTTTGAAGGCTAGGTAGGCTGAACCCAGAGAGGAGAAGCATCTAAAAAATAGATCAGCTCCCAGAAAGGACGTGTTATGGACCCGATCCAGAAGCGACAGCGCTGCCAGCAATGGATCTGACTGACGGTGCTAACTGCGCTTCTGCTGGAACTGTTTAAGAGCCGGACCTGGATGCCTCTTTCAGAACAATCGAAGTTGACGTCCTTGCACAAGTCCTGCATTGCAAAGCGAATGGCCAGCAGCCAGCGGTCTGATTGCAGCGATTTTGGAAACTTTGCTGGCACTGGGTTCGCCGTCTCTGTGCCTCTTCAGTCTACTGCAAGCTTCGAGGTTTGCACACGCCCTGTCCTTCATAGCATCCGCGACCTTCTTGAGAAGCCCGGCATGTGGCAGCTGTGCGACGAGGCTCATGGCAAAAGCCAAAGCTTTCCAAGACTCCGCAACCCTGTGACCCCTGGTGGCTACAGACGCGCAACATGCGAAGCTGGTGGTCAAGCCCGTAATGCCCGATGCCCCACCACACCAAGGCTTTTGGAGCAGTGCTCTTCAAACAGCTGCTCTGCTGCACTCTGCTCGGCACCTCGCACAAAAGCGAAGGGTGGCAGAATGCTGCCGAATGATGCAGGAGAGCTCGGCAGGAGTGCCCCTGCGCGGACGAGACAGCTTCTGCACCGGCTAGACATTGCGAGGTGTGGCCTCAGGTCGGCCAGGAGGTGCTCCACAGAACCTGTCCAGGGTTTCAATAGCAACCAAATCTTCGACATTGAGCTGCTTGCATCACGACTTGAGTATAACGACCTCGCTCTTTCTTTCTCCAGGGCTATGGTGGAGGGTTGTTGCTCTCCACTGCGTGCTTCTGCGCCCCCGACGGTTGCTGCCGCACACGCACACACACACCAACGAAGGCAAGGAAACCAAGATGTAACGCAACACATAGCTGCAACAGAAAGGGTCAAGCCTTCATTGTGGGGATCCTCTCCCTCCCTCCCTCTTGGCTTTGCTCTCTCTCTCTCTCTCTCTCTTTCTCTGCGGTCTATGAGGCTCGGCTTGCGTTGGGTCAGAGGGCCGAAGCCCCGCCCACTATCACATGAGCGACACTTCCAGCAACAGAGTAGCACGCACGCACACCCACACACAAACACAGGCGAGGACTTTTTTGCTGCCCGCCCAGCTGAGCTAGCCGCACCATGCGAGGATTGAAGTGGGGGGTCTGTCTCTCTCACATTCTCTGTCTTTCCGAAGTTGAAGACACGAGAGCTACCGGTGCTCCCTCTCCTTTTCTTCCTTCCTTGTTTTGTCTGGTGCAGGAAATGGAGCCTGTGAGGAAGCAGCCATCCCAGCCATGCTGGAGCAAGTAGGCTGACAGGGAGATGGTGAACACAAGCCAGTCCATCTGAACCTGGGCAGGTTCAGCTTCAGATTCATGCTGCGAAGTACTCATGTTATGTACATGCTGTTGTTCATCTTTCACAGAGGGCCTGAGATACTGCTTCGCTTAGCCCTTAGGCGGCGGCCGCGGCAGGGAACCCAACATAGTACAGTGCATCACAACCTCGTGCTGCTTCGAGACTGGTGGCCAGAGATGCTACATGCCAAACACGGAGCACTAGATTTGTCTGGATTTTGCACACACATGCTTTGGGGATGCAGCTGCAAATGCCTGCAAGCTGCACGATTGCCTGAAGCTGTGTCTGTTGGGGCTCCGGCCTGCAGAGACGTTCGGGACAGGAGGTTTCTCTTGCCTGCAAGGATCACCCGCCGACTCTTCGAATTATCGCAGCTTGAGTGCCAGGCTCTTGCAACCAGTAGAGTGTCGAGCCGGCAGGCCAGGCCTGTGGACAAAGCTGCAGTCGGGCAGGCAACGGATGACAGCCTACAGTATGCTCCTTTGGCAACACGGGCAAGAGCAAGCTTGCAGTGGAGGCGGTGGCCGCATAGTAGGAGTCGTGCGAGGAGCAATAATGGCAGCAATGGAAGCTATGTTTACAACTTGCGGCACTGCGTTGCGAGTCAAAGGAGGTGCACCTCTTCCAAACTTTGAAGGAACATGCTCCAGTCCAGGAAAGCAAGCCTGCAAACATTGGGGTATGGAGGGAAAGGGACAGCTATTGCCACAAAACCAGCACTGCTGATGTTCTTCTGCCAACCAGAACTCAGTACTCGATTGGCTTGACTAGCTCAAATGGATCTGGTATTCCTGCTGGCCTAATCACGGCAAATGACGAGTTCTGGTGACTTCATCTCGCCTGTGCGCAGTGTTGTGGCGCACCTCCTCTTTCAAGATTATGGTCTCAGGACCCAGGACGTGCTACTTCCAAACGTCGGGCCATACCAATGTGTATGTGTATATACATATCTATATGTATATATATATATATATATGTGTGTGTGTGTGTGTGTATTTATGCAGGCATTTGTATGTTTTGCATGCATATATAGGGTGCTGGGATATTCACGGATCTACGTTCAGCCCATAGGCGTCGGGATTTTGATGAAGATGCAGGAGGGAAATCGGGAATAGAGACACACGTTGTCAGACAGGTCGGAGAACCCTAAACCCTAAAATCCTAATCCCGAAACCCTTTCCTTTGCCTTCAGCACAGGTAAAAATCATCCAGCGACACATGAACGAAGAGAGATATCGCTATGCATTTTACACGCACCATGTCAATGCACATACGTTCGTAGTCTCCTCCCGCCCTCGAACCGTTCCCCACCTTTTGCCGTAGGTGTTCCTGAAAATTGCGGGGATAATGTCTGAGAATTGTCACTGCATCTGCTTGAAAAAACTCTCCTCTATTCCCGACCAATGGTTGTCAGATTTTCCCAGATTCTGCCCGAAAAGGTCTGCAGTCTACATATATATATATATACATACACACACATTTTCCTGTTTAATATATATATATATGTATGTACATGTATGTGTGTATCGTGTGCTGCATATGTTACAGAGCTATATGTAGACACAGGCAACAAGTGCACGCATGCATAGAGCATTTGGACAAACCGACCTCCAAATCTCTGCCCCCACTTGGGAGTGCTGCAGCGACGAGGCGCGTGCTGCAGAGGAGAAGGTGGCCTCAGAGAACCATGGCACTGCTGCAAGCAAAAAACCGCTTGAATGAAGTCTTCTAGGTGCAGAGTCACTGCAGGGAACTCGGGACAACATCGTGCTCTCGTTGTCAGGCCTTCCCGAAGCCGAGTGGGTTCCTCGACGTGCCCGAAGGCTTTCAACCAAGCATGAGCACGATATCAGCCCTGTGCAGCCTGCTGCTCAACAGGCCTCCTGGCCTTGCATTTAAGGTCACCCCCAGGGAGTCGCAACAGGCACAGCCATGAACCATGCCAGCTCAAAGGAGTTGAACATGCCAATGTGGCAGGAGGGTACTTGGCACAAAAACAAAAACGCTCAGGACTCCGTTCAATGTGAGCAGAGCTGCGATGTCGTTGAGGGGGCGGGCACCGGCCAGTGGCTGCCAAAACGGCCTGCGACATGCCCTGCCGTTCTCCTCCAGACTCTAGAAAAGTCAGAAGTGTGCTTGTTCTGCCATGGCTTGGGGGAACTGTTGCCACCTCCATGGCGGGTGGGGGTTTACGCTAGCCCAGCAGGTGGGAGGAATACTTCATGGCAACCTGCAATGATGCTTTTGTGGCTTGAAGGTCTCGCGCAGCCAAACCAAAGCAATGTCGAAGGCCTGCTCCAAGCTCCACCACGATGTCCGTTCACCAAGTTCAACCTTTGCTGAGATGTACGTGCTGTGTTCGGCCAACAGCATGTTGCGGCGAAGCTGTGCATAGTTGAACTTATTCTACAGCGTCTCGGGATTCTCGCAGATCTGCTGCCCCGACTGCCTGCAATAAATTAAAGCCAACAGCGAAAGCCTTTCCAGAAGATCGCGCTGGTCGCAAAGGCCGCGCAGCGAACCTGAGTTTCTCGCTTGGAACGCAAAACTCCGTGGCAACCCTCTTTGTAACATGGTCTTTGTCCCCGCCGAATCCCGACTCGCTGGTTTTACCACCCAATACAGTACCCGGTATAGTAGTAAGCAACAACAGGAATCGTGACAATGACGACGGGGAAGAATGATGATACCGCTGGTGGTGGTCATGCCTGTGAGATGTCAAGATCACCTGAGACCTCACGTGCCGTTTGCCTGAGTGGTGACGCCGTCGCCAGCTGAGGTCTCAACGCCAAGCGAATTCCAGCCGCGGCGAGGCAGGCGGTGCCTGGCCATGTTCTGACTTTCGCCGGCAAACCGATGATCGAACGAGGGGTCCCTACCTGCCCGGTACAACAGTAACAACGACTGAGTGCTGCGGTGAGCCAACGGTATATTCCGGCTTAGGACTCTTCAGCTGCAATCGGAACACCTGACTTGTTACAGTGCCTCATCGAAGTGGTGAGAGGTACCATACCAGCCTCGATTTTAAAAATGAGAACAGCCCGTTGGTTTGCAGGTGTTTGTGCACACCACGCGACTTTCCAACTTGCAAAGCCGAGCAACAAGCCGACAGTGCCTGGCTGGTGGACCTGTGAGGCATGCTGATCAGCTCTGCAAACCACTATAACTATAACTCTAACACTTCCTACAAGAGTCAGATACTTTGAACTTTGCAGCCAAGCTTCCAAAGCAATGACCTCGGACGTGGCATTGCGTACTTCGACATAAGGAAACCGCCATGTCTGGCCCAGGGTTCTTTCCCTCCTTTCGAGCCCACAAAACTCACAAACCCGACATATTCCGCCATTTTTGTGTCAAAGCCGAGGCACACGATCTCTGCAGCCTCAGGGCACAGCTCGGCCAAAACCTCTGAGGACTCGCTGAGGGACCCCCAGAGCTCGCGAAAGCCTTAAGGAGGCTTGGAAGAAGCTTAGGGCTTTCAATGGCTTCGACCATAGCAAATTCAGTCACAAGACTGGGAGCCAACTCTGGTTTGGGCTCTCGCAACTGTTGGCGATGCTTCTGGCTTACAGTCTTGTTGTTGAGTGTTTCGGTTGAGTCGATAAGGCATGTGTTTGGTGTTAAGTGGCTGCGGCCTTTGAGGGTTTACATGGCTTGCCGCTTGCCCTTTAGGCTCGATCTTCATAGCCTCACCACTCGGCGAACGGAGTTAGGCCGCTGCCGTGATCGATTCGGAAGTTCAATTGTCGTGTGAGGGAATGGTGGGTTGCATGTTTTCACGTCTCTCTTCCTTTCCTTCATGTAGGCTAAAGAAAGGAATGAGCCCGAAAACCTGGACATGCATGGCCGCTCAAGTCACATCTCAATTGGTAAAGCACATGTTTCAGGGCATGCCAGCCACGCAGGCTTTTGTAGGTACCACAACAACAACTGAATGCTGCATGCCTACGTGTGCCCAGAAATCTCTGATTTCGCGAAACCAGCAGCTTGCATCCAGCTCTTCTCGACCTGTCAAGAGCTGCATCCGACACCGAGCCGACAGCAGCCTACTCTCTCCGTTCGAACGGTTCTCCATGGTTCTCCATGGTCGTCGTTCTGAACGTGAAGCCCTGAAGTGGTGTGGTGAAATCTGTCACGATCTGTCACGATACCCGCGAAGTTGATTAATTAGGCTACCTGCATCCCCGCAGCCGAGAATAGCCCTCGCAGATACCAAAGAACCAGAAACCCGTAAGTCTCCAAGTTAGAATCAAGAAACGGACACACGCTGTTCAACTCAAAGCGTCGGCCTTCGAGGAAGCCGACCGCCTGGTCCATCCAGCGAAGCAAGCCAGGTGTAAGGCTGCGGGCGCGATACCTCGCCATGATCGCCATGTCATGTGTCACGTCTTGTGCGAATCTACTCGGACTGGTCAGATGATTTTCTTGCTTCGTAAGTTGATCGGCGTGAAACTTCACACGGATGATGGCACATGTGGACTGTGGACCACGGGAACACATCACCTCACAGGTTCATGATGAGTTGACCAACATTATGCTATACTGGCCGTGTGGTCCGCAGCTATGCGCCCACACACATGCACATAGCCTGTGATTTCGCCATGTTACATAACCACAGGTGCCTACGAGGACCAGTAAAGTCTGTGTCAACATGCAAGCACCTCTTCGAGGATGCGTCCCCATCTCGGGGCTCGCGGGCCACTGCACGTGCTCGCCACTGCAGCTGCTTTTGCAGCGTCGGCTGCCACCACACTTGGCCGAAGCTCGGTGTGGTAGGCCAACAAATACAACGCTTGACACGCGTGTTCAACGACGTCCTCTTGGGCCTGGTGTTCCATGATGGCTTTCACCATGGATTGGGTGCCACCGCACTGTACAATCTGGTGGCGGTTTTGGTCATTGACTGCTAGGTTGAGCAAGACTGCACATACTCCACCCAGCACATCCGGATTTGCCAAGTTCTTGGCCAGGACTGATGCAACACGGCGGACACCTCCTGCTGCCGTGGCCCTGTCGACTGCCTTCATGTGGAAGGTCAGATTCCATAGAGCATCTATTACAGGGCGCAGCATCGGCCCATCTCCGTCCTCGTGAGTCTCTAACACTTTCAAAATCAATTCAACACCTCCCAACTCAACAACCTGCGACTGGTGATTCACATCTGTGAATGTCAGATTCTCGAGTGAGCTGCACACCTGTGAGCAAATGGCCAGGTTGGAGATATGTTTCTCCATAAGGTTAACCAATGAAGCGATGTGGCTTCCGTCATGGCTCTTGACAGCAAGAACGGTCAGAGCTTCTGGCGCTGGTGCCTCGCTGAACTCCACTGACATTGTGGCCTGCTGCCGTGTTGCGTGCAGCTCTGCCAGCTGCTCCTCGGCAATCGCAGCCCGTCTGTTGGCCTCTTGCAGCCCTGCTTGAAGCTCTGCAAGTTGGGCCTCAGCACTTACAGCTCGCCATTCTGCTTGCTGCAATTTGGCTTGCAGGTCTGCAACCTGGGCGGATGTTGCAGCATCTGCCTCTTCGGCCTTTTGCGCATCAGGCGCATCCTCAGCCTGTTGAGCATCATCTGCATTCGCCAGATGCCGTGCTTCGGGGGCATCCTCAGCCTTTTGCCCATCATCTGCACTCGCAAGAAGCTGTGATTCAGGCGCATCGTCAGCCGTTTGAGCATCAGCTGCGCTTGCAAGAAGCTGCGCTTCGGGCACATCCTCAGCCTTTTGCGCATCATCTGCACTCGCAAGAAGCTGTGATTCAGACGCATCGTCAGCCTTTTGAGCATCAGCTGCGCTTGCAAGAAGCTGCGCTTCCGGCGCATCCTCAGCCTTTTGCGCATCATCTGCACTCGCAAGAAGCTGTGATTCAGGTGCATCGTCAGCCTTTTGAGCATCAGCTGCGCTTGCAAGAAGCTGCGCTTCCGGCGCATCCTCAGCCTTTTGCGCATCATCTGCACTCGCAAGAAGCTGTGATTCAGGCGCATCGTCAGCCTTTTGAGCATCAGCTGCGCTTGCAAGAAGCTGCGCTTCGGGCGCATCCTCAGCCTTTTGCCCATCATCTGCACTCGCAAGAAGCTGTGATTCAGGCGCATCGTCAGCCTTTTGAGCATCAGCTGCGCTTGCAAGAAGCTGCGCTTCCGGCGCATCCTCAGCCTTTTGCGCATCATCTGCACTCGCAAGAAGCTGTGATTCAGGCGCATCGTCAGCCTTTTGAGCATCAGCTGCGCTTGCAAGAAGCTGCGCTTCGGGCGCATCCTCAGCCTTTTGCCCATCATCTGCACTCGCAAGAAGCTGTGATTCAGGCGCATCGTCAGCCTTTTGAGCATCAGCTGCGCTTGCAAGAAGCTGCGCTTCGGGCGCATCCTCAGCCTTTTGCGCACCATCTGCAGTCGCAAGAAGCTGTGATTCAGGCGCATCGTCAGCCTTTTGAGCATCAGCTGCGCTTGCAAGAAGCTGCGCTTCGGGCGCATCCTCAGCCTTTTGCGCATCATCTGTACTCCTAACTGGCTGTGGCCGAGCAGCCTCCATTTCACGTGCTTCTGGGGGACCTGCATCCTGCTGAACTTCGCCTTCCTCCTCGAGCTTTCCTTCTCCTTCTCCGCCTGCTTCGCCTCCCTCGGGATCTGCAACGGCCGGAACTTGGCCGCAAGGCGTAGCGAAGGGTGTTTCCACGTATGCAAAGGATTTGGCCGTTGGCGGCTTCTTCGCTTTAGGTCTCTCCCGGCACCTCGTGCTCTCCGTGCTGCCGGTGATGCATTTGGGTGCGAAGAGATTCACCGGACGTGCAACCGGTGCCGCGAATCCCTCGGAAGCTGCTGCTGATGCTGCCGGGGCACCTCCGTCCTCTGCACCTGCATCGGCGGGGGGAGGAGACTCTTCGAAGGATGCTGGCGTGGGGCGCATCACCACAGGGGGTGCCTTTGGCTTGCCGGCACCGCCCCACAAACTGCCATGAAGCTTTGGAGGAGCCATCATGTTTTCCAAGGCAGATGCCTCCTTTGTGGCTCCTTCCTTCTTCTCCGCCTGCTTCATCATAGACGGGGGTGGAGGCAATGCCACCTCGGCCTCCTCCAGATGCTCCTGGCCTCTTTCGCGCCACCTCCCCTTCTCTTTGTCGAAATACATCTTGCTCGGCTCATCCGGCAGCCGCACTCTGTGAACGCGCGGTTCACTCGGATCGCTCTTCTTGAACAACCGCCAAAGCATGGTAAATGCCGGAAAAGCACAAATGAGGACACACCAGCCACCTTGACTTGAGCCGTACTTGCTTCTGCCATGCTGCCTCTGCAAACTCGTGGGAGTTTCTCGGAGTCTCATGTGCCTTTCAATTGCGATAACTGCGATAACGTCACTCGTCCCTTCATCCAGTCCGAAGGGCTCGATGCCGGCAGACCCATCGGGCTGCGGATTCAGCACCTGCCATACAACCTGCCACCAGCCGATCTGTTGTGCAAAGTTGTGCTGATTCTCGCTGTGGTGACTTTTACTTTTGCCGTCACGATTCGAGGAAATGTAGGCTGTTCTGCGGTGGACGCGCCTCTTCGACAACGATGCGGCAGCCGCAGCCGTCTGTGAGGCACTTGGTCGACCTCTTCAGGCAAAATGCTTGATACTGCACACTCCATGCAGTGATGTGCCAGGTGCCAGCTGACCCCTAACATCTGAAGCGTCCCCGCAAGTCGCAGGAAGCATCATTCATTTGGTGTCTATGCTCCTGACAGGCGGCTCGTTCTCTACCGGAAGTGCCAGCAGATCTTGACAGGAGCTCGTGTCTTTGACGGCTACCTCGGAAAGGACTGTTCGCTTCCAGCTTGTAGGTTTCAAAGGTTGGGGGCCAAGCTGTGCAGCAAAACACCACTTCGTGCAGGATTTTTGTCCTTCCAAGAAGCTGCCTACCCTCCAACCCCTAAACAGACTTCCGTCTGACCGAGCAGCACCGTATCCGATCAGCAGTGGCACCTGAAATAAGTCAGAACAGGCGTCGACTGAGACCGTGCTTTCTTTTGCCGGCATCCCTTCACGACATGTCTCTGCCCTGGGACTAAAAACGCCAGGGCGCCCATTGCAGGAGCGCTGGCAGGTGCATGTGCAGCACTCCGGCCGACGCACATGGCAAGGAGTAGAAAAGGCTGCTAGCAGTCCTCTGTAGGTTTGCCAGTGTTGCCAGTATCCCAAAAGTCCGGCCTGTGACCTGTGGCCTCACAAAGCTCCTAAGGCTCTATAGGGAACAAGCTGTAGAGGTTGAAATTTCATTGGCTCAGGGGGCTTGGCCCGCTCGATGAGGGGATCCGCAGGTTTGGGCATTGGGCGGATGGCTTCGCAGAACACCTGTCGCATGTTCAGCTATTGATCGCGAATGTGGCAGGCCAAAGAGGTTCGCTCTGCTAGCAACCGCATGCCAAGCACTATTGCCAAGTGGTTAGTCAACATGAGTGCTGTCGCGGTGCGCTGTTTTAAAGCCCGTGGATCCGTGCACGCTGACGAGGATGCACACTGCAAGTCGGGGTGCGTGCTCAAAGGTCCGGGCTGTTGGCTGGTGTTTGTTGGGTCGAAGCCGATGACAAACGCACTGTTTTTGCATCCAGGTCTCTGATGCAAGCTGGGAGGTGCGATGCAGCTCCACGGCTCCACGATTGCAGCACTATTGCAGCTACTATCCATGCACCTACTGCAGGGTACTGTGGTGTTCAGCCGCTTGCACTTCATCAAGGATGTCTACATAATATGGACTCCTTCATGCCTTTCGTTGTTTCCATTCCCACAAGGTGTTGGATGCTTCGTGAGTTCCATGCGAAAGCACCGCGATCTCGTCCTCCACCTCCTGCAGAAAGCACATGTCGCTAAGGCTGATAAGGTATGTCTGCAGAAGAAGGACGGCAAAGACTAAGCCACCGCTGCTAAGCTTCGTACCACCAGAATAACTAATATGAATCGTCTTCCAAATCAATACTGAAACCTTGACGCCCCAAGTTACTCAGCTGTAGGGCCCGCCTCATGGACTAAGGCTCTGGAATGCTCCGGCAGCGACAGCTGTGCTTGCCAAACTTTGGTGAGCCTCAGTGCTCTCGTTCTCCGTACATGTGCTGTTCTTCTTCTTCCTGCGCATCTTACACATCTTTAAACCGGACCACAGCTTGAGAGTTTCGGCGAAGCGTGGCAGACACATCTTCCTCCCCTTGACCTAAAGCCTAAAACTGTTGCTTCCGTTAAGAAACACGCAACTATAGTGAATATATATATATATGTATATATAGTGGCTTCGGCAAGGACTGCAAGAGTCTGTTGCTTCGCGCGGAACTGATGTCCGAGTTAGTGGCATGCAGCTCTGCGGCCGCTGTAGCTCTGAATCTTTACAAGATTGCGGGAGCCGGTCTAAAGCGAATTTCTAAGCACAGCCATTGCTGTCCGAAAGATGATGCTAGACCACAGATACCGACATCCGGCCTGTCAGAGCTTGAAAGCTGAGGCAGGCCTGATGTGGAAGCTTCTGATCCTGCTCATAAGCCGACGGAAAAAGCATGCAGCTGTAGGCGGGACCCCAATACAAACCGCCGACATTAAACGATAACTTCGTGTCTTGGATCTTAACAGACATGGGGGCCCATAACCGAAACCCCCGGATTCAAGGCCCAGCCTTTTGCAGGGCGATTCAATCCGGGACAAGGCTCTAGGGGCCTCTTTTCAGGACAGCCTTGCGTGGACGCCACGGACACCCAGAATCGAACAGTCAAAACCGTCGAACTTTACGGGAAATTGCTGACTTCAGGATGCCCATACCCCGGGCATTATCGGTTCTCTGAGGCTCCGTGGCTTCATGAAACGAAAGATCGGCCCCATGCAGGGCGCAGCAACGAATTCACAAGCTGCGAGCCGCGAGCTTCGCAAAGTTGCCATCCAATGCGACCAACTCCTCGTAGGTGCCGGACTCAAGAAGTCGGCCGCTGGAGAAAACGAAGATTTTGTCTGAGTCCTGGATGGTAGAGAGGCGGTGAGCCACGGTGATGGTCGTCTTGCCTACTCGAGCTTCTTGCATGGCCTGCTGCACCAGGTTCTCTGACACAGAGTCCAACGCTGAGGTCGCCTCGTCCAGGAGCATGAACTGAGGCTTTCGAAGTAGGGCTCTCGCGATGGCGCAGCGCTGCTTCTGACCGCCAGAAAGCTTCTCCCCTCGGAGACCGACTCGATCGCTCCACTGCACGGCACCTGAGAAGATGTAGTCCATGTTTGCAGCCTTGGCTGCATCTTGGACTTCTTCATCCGTTGCCTCTGGATAGCCATACTTCACGTTCGCTTCCAGGGACATATCGAAAAGAACCGGCTCCTGACCGACGATGCCCAACTGCTGGCGCCACCATGCCACCTAAGCTGCACGGACACGTGGCATGATGGTGTGTACTATGCGTGGAGTCACGTGGTGGCCAGGGCTGTGTAAACGAAGGAGTGTGCGACGTTCCACCTCATCTTACTGCTCTCTTTCCTCCAAATGTATGTGTCGCCCTCTTACTCTTGGCTTTAAGAAATGGTCGTGATGTCTCAAAAACCCTGAACTATGGGTCTCTATGGTCTTCTCCTTATCTTGCAAGCGCGTGCCAGGTGTTCCCACTCAAAGCTTGTCAGTGTGCGTGTGTGTGTGTGTGTGTGTGTCGCAGGCTCCCATGATGCACATGCTGCCCAAAGGACTGGGGCGCGTGACCAAACTTAGTTGACAAAATGTATTCAACCTCTCAGGGCCCTGGAGGCCTGCTGGGGCAACTTAGTATGCCACGTTGAGTTGACGCAAGTCCTGGCCGCCCACGAGGATGGCACCCGCTTGGGGATCGTAGAAGCGCTGTAGGAGCTGAACCACTGTGGACTTGCCGCTGCCGGAGAAGCCGACAAGGGCTACCGACTGGCCCTTCTCGATGGTAAAGCTTAACTTCTTGAGCACCCGAACCTCTGGTCGGTGGGGATACCAGAAGTTTACATTCCGGAACTCAATGGAGCCATCTCCGAAGGTCTCAATCTGTCCCGTCGGCTGTGTAGCGTCGATCTGGGACACCTGGTCAACGAGGCGGAAGACCTCCATGGCAGCATAATACCCTGATGCCGACTCCGGGATGAACTGAACTATGGAGCTCACCGATGCAACGCCGAATACCACACAGAAGAGTGTAAGGAGCACCTGGTGTGCGTCGAAGTGCCAGAACTGGATGCACACAGCACTGATCCAAAAGCCCGCCAGGTAGATGACCTGCTCAGCTTACAGGCCCCCTCAGCTTATCCTCTCCTACAGCGCCCCATATGGCACGTCACTTAAGATTGCCTCAAAAGTCACTTGCAAAGCCCTATAGCAATACCTGGATCAGCGCCAGGTTCAGGCCGACGGAAAGGCCCAACTTCCACGACTTCGCAGCGTTGGACTGCAAGACGTAATGCATGGATTCTCTGAGAAGGCTGAGAGTATGCTCCTCTGCCCCCAGGGCCCTGACGGTGCCTCAATTTTTCAATAGTTTCAGGGGTTCTCTCAGTAAGTTCGACTTTCTCCTCCTCGCACAAAGAGGTCCAGGCTTTTGATTTAAGGCAATAATCCAAGATTCTGTTTTTGGACAACTGGTCCTTCAAGCCACCACAACCACAGAGAAGTTGCACCTCAACTTGCTGAATCTTTCAAGGTGCGGATTGAAGTTGCGGCCTCTGCGGTGAACTTTCCAGCCGTGGCATAGGCGCTTTCAACTTTCGGGTCCACGCGCGCGGCACAGCTGGCCACTTTGAAGCCAATGTAGCCGCAAATGGGCAGCAGACCTACTAGTATCATCATGTCTTATGCTTGCATTGTGGGGGCTGTGTCTTGTTGAGTCTTTTTGTTCGTGCGCTCTGTGCATGGGCGGTCGATCTCAACCTTGGGATGCGGCTTTCGGAGGAGGCATAGCATAGAAGTAAACCCTAACACCTGTCTGGAGTCCACCACCCATCCCGCCTAAAAGGACCACGGCCAAAATCCACGAACCAAAGAAGCTGAAGCCGATGCTGAGGATGCAGGTAAAAATGGCACCGGCGGAGTTTCCCAGCTGGATGCCGAGCATCTGCCCCACACGATTCCTGGGGCACCCCAGGAATTGGTTTGTTCTCGATCGTCTTTACCCCGAAAAATACATTATAGTCACAAAAGTGAGGAAGGATGCGAGATCAGAACCAGTACCATCGGTAACATCATTATCATCATCATCATCATCATCATCGGCATCCCGACTATCATTACCATGATTAACCCTGCACCGTCATCATCACATTTAGTGCGCCGTTGGCAACAACAAACTACCCCAAGTTGTGGCCATTCAGGCTCTACAAGCGCACGACACCCTCTTGCAGGTCACAATCACCTATTGCTAGTGGTCGACGTCACTCAGTACCATCACCTTCTGCCTCCGGGAAAATGATGTGTTGACCTCGACCTGGGACCGGACCGAGTCATCACACAACTGCAGCCCAGGATCATGTGTCTTTCCAGGGACACCAGAATGCTTGCTGTCTGGTTCTCCGGCGCATCGAAGAAGGCCATGTCCATGCGGATGGTGCTGGCAAAAGCTGCTTTGCGCAGGATCAAGCAGAGGGACTCTTGCAAGTAGGTGAACAGCGAGTTCTGGCAAAGGACCGCCACCCCAGAGCCCAAGCCAACCAGCACCAGGCACAAACACGCCTCATCCAGCTTGTGAAGGTCAATGCCCTCCGGATCAAATAGTGCGACGATGCCGGCGTTGAAAAACACGGCTTGGAAGGGAAAAGCAGCTGCCTGGATCACGACGACCAGAAAGGCAAGCGGCCAAATCCACCTAGGCAGCGGCAAACTAGTTTGCGATAACTTCGTACTGAATGCTACTTCGAATGTTGAACGAGGGCATGGCTGGTGTCCTAGAAAAGTTGCCTTGTGAACTCGCAGATGCTTTGCACTGTACAGTCTGGTAGCATCACAGCAGCACCACTACGTCATAGCAGTATCTGCGGCATTGTAGTACTAATAACATTGTAGCGCAAAGTTGCTGATTCTACTCGTCTAGTCTACTCAGTTTCACTTCTCCGTCCTTGGGAGTCTGTGCTGGCAAGGTAGTTTGTGACAAGTCCCTTAACAGCGCATGGAAAGTTGACAGAATACAGGGCTGTTAAGTAATTCCTCTGGGTGCAGCCTGGCAGTTGGCTGCCATGAACGAAAGACAGGGATTTGCAGAGACGGGGGTGAATACGGCAATATACAGGTAATCACAGTGTGAGAGGCCGAGGCAGGGGAAACGATTGGAAAGCCGATCGCTAACCCGCAAACCACAGCTGCAAGCAATGTCTAGGCGCCAGTAGATCTTCATCAAATTCAGAAGGCGGCACCAAATGGCAGAGCGATAATTCGAAGGATCCTGCTGCATTTAATGGATTCATGCATGTGGGTCTTGCAGCCATTCCGACAAGAAGGGCTCCAACAACCAAGCTAGCACCAAGAATCTCAGACCCCCACAACTCAAAAGCTCAGCCATGGCCTTGCCATTCCCATCCAAAGCAAGAGCCGTCTCAAGGAAGCTCATCGCACTTCCACTTCGCCGGGCGGTCTTCTGCATTCCTGCCTAGCCAGCAGCGAAAAGTCTCACGCAGGTTGTTGGTGCTAAGTTCACTTCTCTTCCGGCCTCGTTGGTTCCCTCAGGAGGAGGGACGAAGACGTCGTTGGGGTTCTCCTCCTCCTTGTCCTTGTCGTCCCGGGTTGCTTGCTGTAGCTTGGCCATGCTGTAGTACTCGCCTCGGAGCTCCAGAAGCTCTTCATGGGAGCCCTGTTCACAACAACGTCCGTCTTTCAGGACGTAGATGACGTCGGAGCCCTTAATGGTCGTGAGACGGTGGGCAATGGAGATGGTGGTGACGCTACTTCCAAGGGCTGTGCCCAGGGAGTCCAGTGTCGCCTGCACCATACGCTCCGACTCGTTGTCGAGGGCAGATGTGGCTTCATCAAGCAGCAAGATCTGGGGACTCTTCGCTAGAGCTCGTGCAATGGCAAGCCGTTGTCGCTGACCACCAGACAGAAGCCCACCACCAGAGCCCACGAATGTGTCGAACTGTTCTGGAAGCTGAATCAAAGTGTCATAGATTTGGGCTGCCTTAGCTGCCTCCATGGCCTGCTCGTCGCTGATGGAATCGTCGCCGGCTTTTAAGTTCTTCATGGCAGTCGTCGCGAAAAGGACAGGCTCTTGGCCGACATACCCGATGAGCTTCCGCCATGCTTTGGCCGGCACCTGGGGTCTAAGTCGTCGGACATCAGCATCACAGCAAGGGTTCAGTGACAATGAGTGGGTTCAATGATTGCTGTGGGAGCTACAGTATGCATCGGGATGTGCTACAAAGCCAGTCGAAGAGTTTAATTCTGCTCTGCAGCAACAGTCATTGAATTGAGACTATAAGGACACTGAACCCTTGGCATGTTCACATCTTCTGAGGCAATAGGCTTCTAGCATGATCGCTCATGGCCGCCTTTGCGCGTGACATCCCTGGTTTTTGGCGTTTTCCGAGGTTCCGCGGCCTGGCCTGGCTGAGGTGTATCCCGTTCACGAGGACCTCACCTTCACACGGGTCGTAGAAGCGCTCCAAGAGCTGAATCGTCGTGCTCTTTCCACAACCACTTTCCCCAGCGAAAGCGATCTTTTGACCTTTCTCCACACGGAAGCTGAACTTCTGTAGCACCCACTTGTCTGGCCTGGTCGGGTAGCGGAAGCTGACACTCCGGAACTCGATCGAGTCCACGGTTTTAAGCTGCACCGGTAGTTCCTCCTTCGTGTAGAGCGGGCGTTCGATGACCCGTGCAGTTGCCATGACCTGGGTGCAACGCTCTGACTGCGGCTTCCGGGCACTCGGCTGCAAGATACACAACATGCCACAAACCTGAACTTGCTCTAATCCAGATATTGAGCACCTGCGGACATGCGATGACATGCGTATATACATGTGGACAGTTCCGCACGTGCATATGTACTTGTGGGGACCGTATGTGATTCGTACAGATGACGTGACGAGAACGAAACACGAAAACAAGACCCCAAACTTAAGACGCGCCTGATCCCTCCAGCAAGAACGAAGGAAAGGGGGTTACAACGCTAGTGGCTCCCACCTGCTTCATGGACTTGGCAGACACCACGGCTTTGGCCATCATGGGGGCAAAGCCGCTGAAGGAGCTCAGCCCAGTGACCCCGACCAACATGGCGATCATGACGGTGACGACCTGGTTTGGCTGATAGTGAAAACTCTCGTTCGCGAGGAGGACGTGTCCACCGAACCAGAGGGCCAAACCATACACCCAGGCGTAGAAGAAGTTGAGACCGCCCCACGCGACCCCAATCTTGGCTCCGGAACGAACACCGCCAATCTTTGCAGACAGAAGCTCCTTTTCGAAACGTCCCAACTCTGTACCCTCGCCACCGAAGGCCGCGACGGTGCGGATGGCCATCAGCGACTCCTCTGCAACCGCAGAGGCCCGGGCGAAGTCTCTCTGCTGGTCGACCGTCTGCCTCTCGACTTCCTTACCCAAGCGGTGCGCAAGACACATAAGCACCGGGATCGTTGCACTCACCACGAGTGCCAACTGCCAGCCTGTGACAAAGGCCAAGGCCAAACCTCCGATGAGCTGTGCAAGGCTCGCGATGAGGTATCCGAGTGCTGTGGACATGAAGCTGTAAACGTTTCCAATGTCGGTCTCTAGCTTGGCTGCAACTCCCGCTGGCTCGTGCTCATCGTACCACGAGACATCCAGGGAAAGCAAAGTTCCCATGAAACTGGCGTGCCAACGGTTGCACTGCTTGGCAGCAGCCCAGGACAGGCAAGTTTGCCAAGCGAAAGCCAGCAGAAATTGGACGACTGCAAGCACCATGATTTTGTATAGGGTTGGAGCCATCTGGCCTAGCATGTGCTCCTCGTCAGCATCAACAGCAGTCAAGGTGGTGATGCTGTCTGCAGTGAACATTGCGATGGCCGGGGTCGACACTCCCTGGGCCAAAGCACACACTGCGCCGAAGCCTAATACAATCTTCTCACAGCATTTCAAGTGAGCGGTCACCGCCGCAACGTCGTCACTGCCACCGCTAATCGGCTTCTGCGGGTCTTGCTCCTTCTCGTCTATTTCTATCATCTCGTTCACTTCTGCGAAGTGGGCCTTCTTTCCCATCTCCACATCATGCACTAGTGTTGGCGACTGCTCCCGCCCCAACAGGACGGGGAGACCTTTCACCGGGGTTTCCATCACCACTGCGCTATCGGCAGCCATGGCGGAAGGAAGAATGGGAAAAGAGCAAACCGGGCAGGTTCTGCGACTCTCGGAACGCTTGGGAGATCGGCAGCACCAGGCTTGTCACTGCAGGCAAAGTAGCTGCTTCTACGTTGAAGTGCATGGACTAATCTGGGAGTTTCGGTGCAGACTCCGCTGCAGACTGAAAGAACTCTAAAAGAACTCTCCTGTCCCTTTGTGCATCAGGCGAGCGAGGTGCCCAGCGCATCTCGACCTTGCCAGGTCCCAGATCTACGCTGCTCTGTGTCAAGCAATCTTCCCAAAATCAAGCACATCAGGAAATCCTCGTCTCGTCCAGCTAGGGCCTAGGACTAGGTGCGTGATGAGAAACCTCTGTTGCATAGCAGGCGTGCGGATGTACCAAGGCCGTTTTGTCTCGAAAAATAGTGCGCTTTCCTAGGATCCGGTAGGCCAGTGGTGTCTATCGGGGTCACATTTCTTCAGCTTATTTCACGTAGGTTATCAGCCGTAGGCTTTAGTTAAGGTTGCTAGTGCGGTAAGCTTAACTTTGGGCTAGGAGTAGTTTTTCCTTCTGATGAATCCCATGGTGCGGAACAGACGGAACCCTGCAGTGTCAGCAGATCAGGAGGCTACGGCAAATCGTCTTGAGGACGAGTTTAGAACGGTCTTGAGTCAAGGGGATAGGCCATCCGGGCCAGTTGAAGGGCCTATGGGTGGTTTTCCGGGAGAAGCCTCTCCTGGAACTCTAGAGCAAGGAGAAGGCCATGGACCTTCCCAGGGAATGGGAATGATGGCCAGTCCGTTCCACAGTGAAAGGGTGAAAGGCGAGATTGCCCTTTTGCAGCAGCGACCCTCTACGCTTGACGAGGATCAGGCCAGGCTGAACTTGGCTCAGGATAGGGTGTCTGGGGCAGATTGGTTTGGAGGGGCCGATGGTTCCGAACCAAACTATGCAGAGGCCTTTGGGGCTCCCGAGGGTCTTGGAACTGGCGAAGGAAGTCAAGGACCACGGGTCGCGAGAGTGGAAACTTCTGCTGGATCAGGCGAGGTGTCGCCGGGATCTGGGCTGGCGAGAACGAATCCGGTGGATTTGTCCAAGGGGACGGCAGTGGATCATACTTTGGTCACTGAGAATCTGGAGGGCCCGGGTGAACAGGCCTTGAATCAAGCAGGCCCCGAGCATGACGATGAGCTTCTACCGGACCGTAAGCCAGCACTTAATATGGAAACCATTTTGGTGCAAATGATGGAGGAGAATAGAAACTTGAAGAGGCGACTGGAACAAGCTGAGCTGCGCTCGCATTCGTCCTGGCATAGCGGCGGCACCCCGGGGGATGTACATGCTGCTGGATCGCCGGTGTCATTCTCTTTGGCCGGTGGACAAAGGATGATGCCGGGTGGAAATGTCAGGAGTGATTTGGGATTAGGCGTAGCTGTACAGTCTGTTGCGCCGGTAGCTGCTTGGTTTGATGATTGCCCAGCGATGACTGTTGAAGGTCCGGGTAGGGTAGCGGTAAGCAGTCAACAAGGGGGCCCTCAGCAAACCCGACAGGAGGCCCCAATCAGTACATTCCTAGACCCGAGTAGGGCTTCGGGGTTGCATCAGGAGGTGTTACCTTCAGGTCAAGGCGTAATGGATCCAGTTGGAGGGACGGCTATGGTCCCGTTCTTGGGCCAGCAGACTCGGGTCGGTGTGGGTCCTTCAGGCCCTCATGAGAACGAAGCTAGCCGAACTCAAACCATGCGTCAGTTCACAAGTGAGGTCCTAAGTTCGGGGGTTGAGCCTAATTTGGGTTTCTGTACTCCTCGCTCCACGGGAACAGGGGTCCCGGGGTTTGATGTTCAGGGGTATCCTGTGTCTCCTGGTGGGACTGTAATTCGGCCCCCGCCGGGCCCGCCTCCGGCGTCTCCGCGTGCGCCTCCTGGGATCGTCGCAGGCCAGACCGGACTGATGACGGACTTTGGGGTATTAAGGGAGTTTGTGGACGCTCAAGGAGTAAGACACTTGGGGATTCCGTGCGGGGCTCCTGGCGCTCAAGGGGTCCTTCCAAGTCCGCCTGCTCGAAGCTTGAATTTTCCAGCGGGGTCGTCAGTTGGCCCAACTGTACAGGCTGAGGGAGTGTTTCCGGTTGGGAGTGAGTCCACGCGTCCGGAGGAACCGGCTAAGTACATTACTGATCTGCCGAAGCTTGTGCAAGCAGACTTGGCTAGTTCGGCGGTAGTGTGTGGGAATTGGCTAGCCCAAGTTAGGCAGATCTTTCAGGGTCTATCGCCGACGGCAGACGTGTGGTTCTCCTCTGTGGAGACAGCTGCGAACCAGGGATACTATAAGTGGTTAGTAGCGGACCCCCTAGGAAGATTGGGTATCGATCCTAGTATGGTGGTGGCTAGCTACGACGTTCATCGCTATCAGAGAGTGGAGTCGAGGGCTGTAACTTTGTTGTTAGCGGCGGTTCCAGTTTCGGTTAAGGAAGACCTTATTGTTAATAGGTGGATGAGTTCTGCCTCGATCTTGTTTCGTATTTTGTGTCTTTGGCAACCCGGAGGTAGTAATGAACGAGCTCACTTGTTGTCGCAATTGGTTCAGCCTGAGGTCTGTAGGAGCTTTAAGGAAGCACTGGTCGCCCTCAGAAAATGGACTCAGAACTTGCACCGAGCCCGTGAGATTAGAGCCACAATCCCAGATCCCTCCCTGTTGGTCAAAGGAATAGACCAGTCCACTTCAGCGGTATTGGCGCTTAGTCCTATGGTGGCATTCAGGGTGAGCGCGTTTCGCCATAATTCGGGGTTGGATTATAACCCTACTGTCTTGGGTGTGATGCAACTAGTGCGATTAATACAGGCGGAATGTGAAGCGGCATCTTTGGGTGTTGAGACCCAAGCGGACAAGCGCGCAAAGGCCGCGGCGCTACAGGCTGCCAGGGATCCCCCTAGTAGTAAGGTTCCTCCGGTGCCCAGTCCCCCGAGCGGAGGAGCAACGGCTCCAGCATCGGCGACGGTAGCAGCAGCGTCAAGTAGTGAACCCAAGGGGAAGGGCAAGGGTAAGGCTGGTGATACTGGGGCTCCATTGTGTCATAAGTTTACGGATGCTTCTGGGTGTAGGTTCGGTGACGCGTGCATGTTTAAGCACGATAGGAGCAAAGCTAGAAAGGAAAACAGGTGCCTTGCTTGCGGTCAGGCAGGACATTTTCGCCCGGAATGCCCTCTTGTTCCTGCAGAGCATAGAGTAGTGCAGTCGGATGGGGGCTCGGATGGTTCCCCTAAGGCAGCCTCTCCGGCAGGGAAGGGTAGTCCTAAAGGGAAGCCTAAGGCTAAGTCGGCTGCCCAGGCAAAGGGAGTGACCGAAGAAGCGGGAACGAGAGGGGAACCGCCGACGGGGTCAGCCGGGTCTTCTAATATGTCGGGGACTTCCGTTACTCAGGAGGCACTGCTTGCAGAGGCAGCAAAGCTGCTTAAGGGAGTTTCGATTAAGGCATTGAACATAGATGACCCGGAGTGTGATCTCACCTGGCTTCGTAGCGCGCTGGTTAGTGCCTCCGACCCCTCTTTCTGCTTGGTCGACAGTGGTGCGACTAATGCCTTGAGACCGGCATCGGAGGATGAGCTAAGGGGCGGAAGGGTCATCAAGGTCGACTTAGCAAGTGGAGGAACGGAGTTGAGGGTCAATGACTATGGCACCCTTCTACATGCTGGCCAATGCCAGGTCATCTTGCCTGCAAATTACCTTGTGGAACTAGGGTTCAACATTTCGTGGAGGAAGAAGGGATGCCGAATCAAACACCCCAAGGAGGGAAGCTTGCCGGTGCAAGTGGTTAAGGGTTGTCCTCTGATCCCTAGGAATGTTGGGCTAGATCTGCTAGCTAGGTATGAGGCTAGAATGGGTGAGAGAAAGGGTTTGCGGAAGCTTGAGCTGCTACAACCGACAGAGTTGGTTCCGGCGAAATCCATTCGGCAATGGTTGCGGGAGCAAGTTCGACAGTCTATTGGAGGCTGTTTGAGTGAGCAGGTTCAAGCTGACTTCTTGAGGAGTGTATTTCCTGGCGTGCCAGAGTCGATCCTGCCTAAGGTTTGTGTCCCGTCGGCTTCGGAGGAGGTTCTTGAGTGGAGCGGGTTTCCTTGGAATAGGCGAATGAGACGCTCTTTGGACCGTGGAAGCCGGGGTTCGGTGCTAGTAGGTTTCTCTCCGGGACTTGGGGGCTGGAAGGGTTCCGGGCGAGTCTTAAAGGTTTCCTATTCCGAAAAGGGTCTTGGAAGCAGCGTGGTTTTTGGGCATTTGTTGAGGTGGTCCTTGTCGGGTGTGATTGGGGGTTTCGTAGGCGAGCCCGAGTTAGGTAATGATGATGAAGGGGAATATGGACCGCTAGCGGTGGTTCGAATGCGGATGATTCTCCTAGTGGCTGTCACGCAAGCGGTAAGGGATGCCCAATCGACTAAAGCCGAGGTCTCCTTAGGTGGTTGCACTGAGGAGATAGTACTAGAGGGTATAAGTGATCCAAAGGAGTTAGTCGAGTGGGCTCTAGCTAAAGCTGCGGAGAGACTTCGACAGAAGGAGCCCAGTAGCTTGCCAGAGGACACTGAGCCTTTGCCATCAATCTTCTTTCTCTGGGAGCTACCTAGAAAGGGTTTTGGGTCCAGGGATGGTTCGGTGGATCTTCGGGCCTGGATTGAGGTGTATGGGCTGCAAGTTGCCAGTTTCGACCATGGGTGGTTCGGATCGCGGGAGGTTCAGCCGGCAGAAGTGGTGACGACATCTTGGTTCTTGTTTGAGGCTCTTCAAGGAAGGAGGGTTTGTGGGTTTAGAAAGGATCATGGTGAGGTGTATCCTGCAGACGGTTTGGGTCAGAGCTCATTGGGACTTGGGTGGCCCGCGGCATTCACCCGTTTAGTGAGGTCTCAGTGGTTAGACTGGAGAGAGCATGTGAGACTGCGTGAGATTGCGGAGCGTAAGGTTTTGCTGGCTAAGATGACGGAGGCCCAAGCCCAGGCTCAGCACGAACTTAACGACCATGTACCGTATA